TATACTATACTAGAGAGAGAGAGGAAGAAAAGATCAAAGGGGAACAAACTGATTTTCAGTCATAGAAATCACTAGAAATCATCATACATTAAACATGTGAATAACGATTCAGTTGATAAAAATTACAAGAAACAAATGTAAATTAAATTTAAATCACAGAAATTCTCGAACTGTATAGTGAAAAGAAAATATTCATTTCTATTGATTACTGATTATTTTTACTAATTTCCTTGTTTTTTCAGAATGTACAATGTTTTCAGTGACCGATGTTGATTTCTCATCACTTTTCAACATTTCTGAACGTTTCCAATGATTTCTGCTAGTTTTCAATGATCATATGAGCCAGTCCACGTAAGCCACGACCGATCACCATGGAGAGGTACTCGATGAAGTAGTTCCTAGATTTGCGCAAAATTTATTCCATCTTGTAGAGTATGTTGTTTTAGGCCTCGAACCAAATTTTTAGCCTTATTAGAGAACTTCCTGTCGAGATATTAGGATCTTTCGAACGAATTTTTACCGTTTTTTAACGACTTTTATATGCAAACAATAGAAAAATCACCTTCCAAATTGGTTTTCTCTCAAGATATGAGTGGGATGGTGCTCAAATAACTTTTCAAGCACTACGAAGCTGAGGTTCACCCAAGGGTGTAGTCAAAAGCTTGGGATCTCTGATTGAACAAAATCGGGTGTGGCTTATGCGGACTGGCTCATATAAAAACTGATATCCAGTCATAGAAATCACTAGAAACCAGTTTGTTCCCCCTTGTAAAAGATACACATAAAGATTACGTCACTGCGATATGTTTATTGGCCCCTCTATGATTTATAAATGGAGATCAGGCAGTTTCTATAACCACCTATTAAATCTAGTCGTTCATGAGTGACGTACTTCTTGGCACAGCTATTTTATCGGCTATTATTACGTGAGTAGCTGCCTGATTCGACTTCGAATATAAACGGTAAAAACGAAAAGAGCTAACCATAACCATATAGCTAGCGATAGTTTTAGTTTTACTTATATACGTATATACAGCTACATAGGCTCCCATGTAAGTAAAAATAGATTTATATTTAGTTTTAGTTTTATATTTAGTTTAAGATGGAGTGAACGTAGGTTGAGGAGGACTAAGGGCTAACTGTCGGTGTGGGTGAAGGGTATATATGTAATTATTTTTTTCAAGTCCTCACCCATATGATTAAACAACGCTTTCGAAAGTTTTCTAGAAATTGAAAATCCAAGCCTATTCAAGAAATATCCTCTATTGTTGTGATAAAAATAACTTCGTTCAAAAGTATAAATCAATACTTCTTTGAACATGTCATCTTGAATATAAAATGTTTCAGATCGATAATTGTATGAATAACATCGGATATACGGTGGTACCGTACTGCTGATGCACTTTTCAAAGTCAGAGATACAGTCTAAGAAGTAAAATTTTAATATTTTCGACAAAATGTCTTATGCAGTCAGAATACCATAATGATAAACGTGTCGCAATCTGTATTGCACAGTAATCATTTTGAATTTGTAATTCTCACTATGGATTTCATAACTCATAGGCTACAACGTTTTCTGATAATTCGAATTCATTAATGATTGAATAGATAGCAAGAAAAAACTACTTCTGACAGGTTTTTACGCACTGAGGGAATATCTAGATTATAAATTGAATTAGGTGTCTGGTGAATGCAAAAGTCGTGCCTCATCAGCGCAACAATGTGTCAAGTGTTATAAGATTCTAAACTCTTTGCAGACAATATCTGGGACAGTACTTACCTTGCCTTAATTCCAAATATGTTCCATAGATTATGTAAAGCTTGATGTCATCACACCAGTAATTATTCATATTGCTATGACTTGCAGTAGCATTGAATTTGATAAACACTTCAAGTTCCCATATATCATTGTGTAAAAGCAAATTGATTTGCTCTTCATTCGAGCCTGTAAGTACAACATATATCAAATTCATTAGTAGCATATTGAAACTTACTTAAAGTTTCTTTGGAAGATACTGAATTATTCTTTTGTAATCCTTTTAAGTCTATCAATACACCGGTGCTCATTTTTGCACTTAGTACGGCTTCAGAATGTGTCCAAAAATTGGAATCCCACTTATCTGATAAACTCACACGTTGGTACATAGTAGCTCCAATAGAGAGTGATTGTAACGTGAACTGGCAGTTCGAACTACTCTTGTTAGATATAACTGTAGTGATATTACCATTGCTCAGTGTCCAACCACTAATATGAGAAATATTACAGTCAGCTTGACCATCTTTGACCAAGTTCTCATCATGAGCAGATGTTTCATTTGGTAGTATAGCATCTTGAATAGAGAGAGTATTATTCAATTCACTCTTTGCCATATTGGCATAAGTGAAATTAGTCTTGTACAGGTTAGCACGAGAAAAATTAACTTGATTTAAATTAGCTTTGTAAAATACAGCATGCTTAAGATTTGAATGCCAAAAGTCACAATCAGATAGAGAAGTATAATTGAATATAGATGCAACACCACTTGATTGGTGAAAATTCGTATTAAATACTTTGGCACCAGTGACATTGGCTACAACTAAAGAGTACTCAAAATCATGGCTTCAGAAAAAACAGTTATACTAACAAAATATTACTTAGGTTAGTGGATGCAAAGTTGAGATTCGTGAGCTGAGCGTTTGAAAAGTCGGGATTGTACAGCTCAGCCAATGAAAAATCAACACCCTTGAGGGTCGCAGATGGAAACTTGGGATTAAAGAGCAGCGTGTGTGAAAAATTGACATTCTCAAGTGAAGCGGATGAAAAATCAGCATTATAGACCACAGAGAATGAAAAATCGGCATGGGCGAGGGTGCTATGTTTAAAGTCGACATCACGAATATTTTTACATGAAAAATTCACGTTTTTAAATGTTGCTTCAGCGAAAATGGTACTAGAAAAAGAAGTGGAAGTAAAGCTAGTATTATAGAATTCAGCAAATGAAAAATCGGCATCATGGATTTCTGCTAATGAAAAATTAGTCGTATCGAACTTAGTACGAGAAAAATTAATATTTGACATTTTAATGCCAATAAATGTGGCTTTTAATAGAAAGATGCCTCTCAATGAAAGTTGATCTAATTGTTTTTCATTTACTGCTGCATCACGAAAATCGATCTTAAGAAGTTTTGCTGTTGAAAGATCGAGCGAAGGATTTTCTGGTGTATCAGTGAGCTGTTTCGCTTCGTAAAGAAATCTGATAATTTGAACATTGCGTTGTGGGTCTAGTTGACGAAAGATATTCAGGGTCTCAATTCGAGCAAGCGTAGCTGTGACTTGACTTGACATTATTGATCCATTGCTCTCTTTTAACAATTTACCCATTTGCTGAATATAAGCGTCGAAACGGCCGTTTTCATATCTTTGTTTATCTAGATCCTTTTCTTGTTTACGCAGTAGTTCCGCTTCTTGTTTGTCTTGTTCACGTTGAAGTCGAGATGCATTTCGATCTTCGGCGCGTTGTAATTCAGCTGCGTCTCGATCTTCAATTCGTTGTCGCTGAGCTGCACTCTGCTGTTGAAAAGTGATCACAATAGTAAAAACGCCTAATGAGAGCGGTAGCAGTAAAGAGGACATAAATTCGAGGCACCCTCTGCATTTCGCATGCTTTTTGTCACGAGTTGCAAGGGTAGGTCTACGCGTTCGTATATTTTCTTCTGAAGAAGTCATTCTCGCTTCCTAGTTTGATTTGGTGCAATAAACTGACAAATGATTAATATCGGCTACAGGTGACGTTGAATTTATTTATTGTTGACAATTTCAGATAGGCAAAGTGTGTTTGTAGCCGTATGAGATAGTATGATCTTAAATTCATAAGAAGCATGCTCTAATGCTGTTTGATTTACCAATAGTATCCGTTCGTGTTTCGATAAATTGAATGTAATCAACTAATACACATTTATTTCCCCTATGTTTGCCACATGTCAGTGTTATTTAACATGAAAGATCCCGAGAAAAACAGATCGTGTTTCCAATTTTCGTTCATCTTGTAGCAGATGCTTTTGGTATTCCTTGTAGTTTTACATATGTGTTTGATAATTTCGAAGTGTCTATCAGCACACTATCTATTGTCTCCTCATTTCATAGAACAAGTAGAACTTGTTTTTGACTCGTCTCATATCTCAGTACATCATCTTTTTCGAAAAATTCATTTTCCAACCGGCGCTCTCTAAACTTTGAAGTGATCCATTTTGGGACACGCTCTAATATTTAATGACACTTCATTGATATCAAAACTATCTATATATGCAGATATAATTCTTTAAGAGACATTGCACGCCACCCACGCACTCTAAATAAAACAGTTATCTTAGAAACTGCTGAAGCCCTCTCGGAAACCCTTTCGAACCCATGAGCGTATCCGAAAACGTTTTCGGACTCCTGTTAAGTTTCAAGAAGCATCTTCAGAGTTTCTGAATTCTCGGAAACCTTTCAGCTTTCAAAGTTTAGGTCTGGAAAACCTCAACCGTATTCTCAGAAACCTTGATGCTTTTTTAAAAGTCATTTTGGTTTAAAAGCCCTCTCGAAAATTTCGAGGAGTTTCCGAATCTTCAGAAGACCCTTACGTTTCCGAGAAAATACTTGTGAAAACCATCCTTGTTAGCTCTAATATGTATAGAATGAAAAGGATATATAAGGAATGAAAGACAGATATATTAAGAGCAAAAGAGACAGGCAGTGTCACTGATATTATGTGACAGAACGAAGAAAAAGTGAACTTCATGGGACTCGAACTCACACCTTCCGCTATCCGGACAGATGTCCTAACCAGTTAGACTAGAAGAACATTTTAATCTTCTTTTTAATGACCATATTCCCGTCGTTATTTTAGAGGTTTAGGAATTGTTCGACATGCATGATATGAATCTTAGTCACTTTATGTGCAGTTGTTGTATAAAACCATTAGGGATCTGAGATTTCAAAACATACGTAGATCCAGATAGCAGATCAACTCCTTTTTGAATCATCCCGTATCTAAAAACTTGAATGGCTTATGATAAACTCTATTGGGAGCATTGAAATGTTTGACTTAATAGTCAGGTTATTAAATGAATGTTGTCTTTTTCCTTCTTCATTCATTTTTGTTTTGTCAAAGTACATGAATTGTCATCATTATCAACAGATTACAACGGAATATAATGCAAGTTTAGGATGTTTGATCATTGCTTTAAATGATTTATACAAAAGAGTGATAGGAGAGGAACGATAAAAAACACGGTCGGCATTTATTCTTTCATATCGTAGGGTGTAGTTCTCACAGTGATCAGATAAAAGGTTCGAAAGCAAATCCAAACGCTAAAACTACACTTCAACTGGTAACAAAACTAAAGGTCCCAATAGTACAAATGGCATCAGCATGATGCCTTTGAAAGTAATAAGGAAATCAAAAGTTAGACTACCTTAAAGACTTCGACTTCAATACACAAAAGATTTCACCACTATTAAACTCCCTTTGACTTCATGACTTGGAGTTCCCCCTAATATGTCTTAATAACATTCACTAACTCCATCGTAATGTCATTACCTGACATGGCGACTTAAAAGGTTTAAATAATTTCATGACACTGATTTTGAAAGATGCCAAGACTACAATACACATTACGGACTTTACGACTCTTGATGAAAAACATAAAGACTCGACGAGTAAGACTGACTCTAAGGTTACGATTTTCAAATACAGGAAAGTATAATAGCTAAGATTTACTTTTTCACTCACTACACCAAAGAGCGGCATGGAGACTACACCAGTAAGACTGACAACCAGGCGCTGATTATAAGAGACAGGTAGACTACAAAAATTAGACTAAATTAAAGATATTCTATTTAGAAGACATTAAAATTCTACCGCTTTCCTCACTTAATGGTCGGGGATTTAAAAACGAAAACGCTTAAGGGATGTCATAAATTGCATGACCCTGTCTCTCAAAAGATTCAGCACTTTGACTGGCACCATGTCTGCATCCTTGGCAGATGATTAGACATGAGGACTTCAGTTGACAATATGACTCTGGAACTAACAGTTATATACTCTTGGGGGCCTTCAATAGTTTGCAACTGATATCTTTAATAGATATAGATAAGGAAGAAGCTCAACCCAACAGAATGAGTTAACGTCAAGGAAATTGTCTTCTCTGCTACACTACGTACAAATGTTCACTAATAAGAAACTGAAATCAACATAAATAAATAATATTATAGGATTAAAATCAGGGGACAACTATAGATTGAAGTATTAGAATGGGATTGGGGTATATTTAAGGGATATTCTAAGATGTTAGCTCAAGACACCATTATGAAAGGATAGATATAGAACAAGGGCATATATTAATAGAATAGATTAAGATCATAAAATAAGCGCTTACAATAATAAGTTAGAATAACAAGATAGAAAAAGAATAAGGGCATAAAAAAAAGGGATAGATAGATTAAGGGGTTAAAATAAGGCCATATGATTAGAGAATCGATATATATATATTAAGGGAATAGATTAAGGGATTAGAAGATCGATATACATTAAGGGAATAGATTAAGGGATTAGAAGATCGATATACATTAAGGGAATAGATTAAGGGATTAGATTAAGATTTTAAAATGAGATGATAAATACACTTTCGGGATTTGAATGAGTTGATGGAATATGGAGTTAGAATACGACGTCAGATATAGATTCATGAATCATCTGAGGGTAGTAGCCGGTAGACTATCCAAGGTTTTTGAACTCTCGGAAGCCTCTTCTGCGTTTTCGGGATCAGGTTTTTTTACTACTTTTAAGGGTTTCCGAGCTCTTAAAACATTTTCCCAGAAAATAGATTCTTTTTTAGAGTGCGGCCACCATTGCTCAATATATCCCACGAATTTGGCTGATATTTTTACAGTAGATACCTACATTCGAGCTAGGAATAAGCCTACATTTTCAGCTCAAACGGATGAATTGTTCTCGAGATATAAGACTTGAAAGTATCGGTGCTCAATCAAAATTAGAGATCTTTTATCGCAATACTTTTCAGTATCCTTGGTAATAACAGTTATCATTGAGATTGTTTCACCAAAGATACTATCGACTACGGGCTATCTTGTGATAGTAATGAAAAATTTTCATCCTCAGATAAATTTTGATCGGTATCATACACGATTTTCAGAAAGCATGCTCCTGTATTTTGAGCAAGTTAGTCAGATCAGTGAGATATAATTTCTTGAGAATAGCCTCATTTGAAAGAGCATATCAAACTGCTTCGAACAATGCTCTCAAAATTTTGGCAGATTAAATTTTAGTCTAGAAAAAGTTTTAACATTTTCATCAAAGATTTGCACCTGTAGAAAAATTTGACCTATCCGATATTTTTATTGTTTCATCTCTACCAGCTGGTGTTTTCGGGAAACTAACTACATATTTTTTATAGTGCTTAAAATTCTATCACAATGAAGATGTATTTCTTCGCAAATTCTTCCTAATAGAATCTTTCTATTCATTTTTTTCAATTTCTCATCCGTAGTCGAATAGAAAACACAAATTATCTCAAAATTAAGCGCATAGCGTCAGAGAGCGTGAAACTCTCTATCATTTTAGATACTAGAATTTGATATTGGTAAATCTATCAAAAAAGGCAATAAATAAGTTAAAATGTTCATAAATGATTATTGTTTTGAAACTTTGCGAAAGTGCTGCTATTTCTAGAGCCTGATCATCCTCTTCATCTTGACCTAGTCATATGATCAGTTTATTTGTATTGCTACTGTTACAACTCTTCTCGACTTCGATTTCATAGGAATCCGCTGCATAAAAGCGTTCAATTGTTAACCTGCTGATTTTTTAAGTTCTATTCCTGAATACATTTTTAAGCGATGTATTGCAAAAAAGACGATCGCCGTATGAAAATTCTTCATGATGTCGAATCTGCTTAAATTGTGCAACACGATTGTATGATGATGAGTTTCTTTTTTCTTCTTAACTATGTTGGAAGAATCATTGTGATATAATTATATATGAGCAATGACTATACTACCTCTACATCCTATACCAAATGTATATCTATGCAAGCAACTTACAAGATTCATTGACAATGAAAATAAATGGTAAGAAAACTTGAATTTTATTATGTCTTCTCTAGGCAAATGAAAGCGCGGCAATCTTGTTTATTTTTTAGAAAAGTTTTCCCAATATCGATAAAACTTCATTGAGAAATTTCATACGATCTTTAGTTTAATCTGAGAATAACACCAATTTGTACTAAATAAGACACCATACTACTGTTTAACTTAACTAAATACGCAACATTCGGGAACAAATTTTCAAAGCTGAAAGAAATATTACGCAAAGGGTTCGGTTGAAGATAAGTTTTATACCTATTTGAGATATAAAAGAGCTACAAGAAGACTTCATCGTAAAAATAAAATAAGTTGCTAATTGAAAGCTTGTTCTACGAAGTAAATGATATATTCAAAAATCTGAAACCAAAGGTTTCTTTAACATCAATAAAAAGTGAAATATATATTATTGTATGTTCGCTTCAACAGACAAAGCAAAGCACAACGAAAATTTAGTGAGCATAATCTTCGAGTAATTCCAGCTCCGGCTCACTCTCTGATTTGTGTTAGACAGAGAATTTCTTTCTCTAGTGAATAGAAATACATCCAAGGATAGGGCGGGATCGCCGGGACAGAAAATGTATTGTTTTAAAAAAAATGCTCACTTTCCTCCTATGAAACCGCAACGGGAAAAACTATATTCAACCAGAATTCTTTTTGAGACCTATGCTGGATCTGAAACTGTTTGTATTCGATCTAGAATTTTATTCTCTACCGCAAAGTACTAGTTATTATGAGGTTCAACGGACAAAAACTATGGGTTGGGTGTACATCACAGTGTGAGTGTGATGAGATGTGCCGTCACATTAGATTATCTGCAATATTTTCCGAACTAATTTCAACGTTTGGGAAATTGCTTTTTCATTCCGAACATGCCGCATTCTCACCCACACTTACACCTAGATATATACCGAATCTATATTGTTTGTCCGCTGGCCATCATCAAATATAGCACCATGCGATACACAATGAAATTCTGCATATGATGAAACAGTTTCAGGTTTAGTACAGGTCTCAAGCCGAATTCAGGGTGAAAATGTTTTTTAGGCATTATGTGTTCAAAGCGGGAAAGTGACTATTTCTTGAATAAGCCCTATTTTCTAACCGATAATAGTGCCATCGAATTTATTCCCATTCGCTAGACGAAAAAAATCTCGAAATATCACAACCCGTTATAGGTCCACCATAGACCATAGCGAGAACCGGGACTGGAGATACTCGGATATCGTGCTATTTTTACTGACCTTCAAACACAAAAGAAGAGCATTCAGCGTTTTTGATAAAAACAAGTCACTTCAAGATAGATATTTCTCAATACTGCGCGCGACGGTTATATAGCAGTTTTTTTAACATGCTTCTCGTGTATCTATTTCAGCCTGTCGTACCGCATCTATCGCTTATGCTTTAATATGTTTGTGAAGAAATCGATACTCTTTGTGAAGAAAACTGTTTATGTTTTTTGCATCCCTCTATCAACGCATTAGCCTTCGCTAGCCCATATCAATAACTTCGGGCTTCAGAAACGACAGGAGCCTGAAGAAAGCAGCGAATTTTTCGGATACTTCCGGTGATATCAAACGACTTTTCCACCGAAAAACTTTCCGGAAGGTGGAAGCAGTATTTCGGGTGGAAATCACCGTACGGTAACTGGACTATTTCGTAGTATTCTCGTGACCGTAGCCGTTGAGAAAAGCTCCAGGAACCGACCCGTCATCATCAGGATTACACACGAGGTACTCGGCGCAATTAACTGAATCTGACCGATTTCAACTAAGAAAATTCTGAAAGTTTCAAACCTCATGAGATCGTGTGAAAACTTCCCGACACCGCCACATCTCCTAATCCTGGATAGTCGCACACCCAACAAAATAAATTAATCGCCAACCTCTATAATTCTACTGACCTCATACACTGGTTCACAATGATTCACTATACCAGAGCATGCATGAAAAGATTCCAAGGTCAGTACCTTCAATATGAGATATTTCGACGCTCTACTCTTTGTATTTGACTCTGAGGGCGTAGATGGCTGCAACTTGCTAGAAAACCAAATAGTGACCGAGAAAAAAGTGATTCCACTAGTCGCAATGCTTGTAGAAATTGATATAAATAAGGAAAAGACTCAAATTCATTGAAACCGTTTATCGTGTTACATGAGGAATTACAACCGAGTCAGCTTCATGATTTTGTCAAGACTGCGTCGCTTTCCATGAAGATTTTGTTTTTATTGTATATATACTTATATATTATAGTAAAACTTGAACTAAATTAGTTGCTTTAAAGATGAAACTAATCATAATGCTGTCTTTCATTTTCTTGAATCAACATTTATTTTATTTCTCAGCGAATAAGAAGAAGAATCGGGTGACACCTTTTCAAATAATCAGTAAGTTGAAAATTCAGAAACTAATGTGAGGGTGTCGCCTAACTGCAACGAAATAGTTCTTTCAAGATGTTAATCCTGCTTTCATGACATTAAGAGGGTTACTAAAAATCTTGTATAAATAAAAGTTTTTTCAATTGTCAATCATTGATCATTCAAACCACTGGATGGCATAATATATTTCTTTTCTTGTGTTTGATTTGCGTCAATGGAAATAATTGAACATTCATTGCTAGATGTTTGTTCCATTAATTCATCATCTGTAAATAAATTTAATTATTAAAAGAAATAATCTATTTTGTTTTCAATATTTTATTTACCAGGCTTGCTATCAAACATATTCGTTTGTAAAAGTTTTTCTATTGTCATTGCATTCGTATCATTACTATCTATTAGAATCATGATTATATGAAATTCTAGAAAACTAGTCTTACCAAATGTAGAGATCCGACCACTAGCAGTGGCACTCGATTTCACTCGTTTATTCGAAACTATAAATAGAATGATAGAAAGCGTTGAAAATATTGGCTCTTATCACAAACCGTAATATTTCTCGGGTAACTCAAACAATATTTGTTTTTGATTGTCTTGACCAAATGCAATAGTATCACATTCTAAAGAGTAATGAAATAATTAATGGAAGATTTTTGCATCTTTTGTTTTACCATCTGCTTTACGTTTTACAGACACATCTTGAACAACTGAACTCGATATTTTTTGAAACTCTTGTGAATCAATACCATTCATTTCAGATGATACTTCCTCGACAACAACAGGTGTCAAAATATCTAAATTTATATTATTCTCGTCTACGTAAAGAGAAAAGAAACATAGTTATTTTGTTATTATTTAATTCGTAAATATGAATTACATTCAAATTCTTCTTGAATAAAATTCTTCAGTAACTCTTTGACTGTCGTGTTATTACGTTCGAAGACAGTTTCTTCATCACTGATGTTTTCTGTATTAATCACATACAATGGATCATAATGTTTTCCATCGTATAATATGCAAACATATGTTGTTGCTAATGGATTCTTTTCACCATAGAAAATAGGCCATATAGATATATCTCCCTGAGATTTTGTCACATAAATTAAACAAATTACTATTTCAAAGATCTCAGACAATGCTAGAAGTTCAGGAGGTCCACCCCATAGTATTCCTTTCTCAATAGCCAAACAATATTCATTAATGGTTCTATATTCAGTACCACTACGCACAGCTTCAATACGCAGTTCTCGATTGTTACGAATCCAATCGGCTATAAGCATGCGTAAACCTTCATTACGTGCACAGCTAATCTTTTGCTTAAATACTTTTAGAGCCGACCAGTATAAGCATTTACCATCACGGAGTGCTTTTCCACGAACGAATTTGTGTGTTTTTACGGATATGCGGCCCATTTATACAAAAAGATTATAATTATATAACAGTCACTCTAGTTGCTACAACAAAAAAACAAGTGTAAAAACCATTCATTGGCCACTGTCACACCAATCGATTATCATAGTATGAATCAGAAAACTTACAGGCAGTGGCGGAGCCAGGATTTTGGGCTAGGGGGGCTGAGGCCCCGAAAAAAATTTTCGTGAATTGTTTGAGAATTTGAAAGTCATTTTGGATTTTTTTTGGGAATTTTGACAATTTTTTTGTTTTTTTTTCGGATTTTGAAAGCTTTTTTTAGATTTTTGGAGAATTTTGAATTCTTTTTGAAGGTTTTTCAGAAACTTTTGAAGATTTTCTGGATTTTTTAGGAGATTTTGAAAATTTTTCTTGATTCTTGCGGGAGTTTTTGAGTTTCATAGCGGGCAACACTGGCTATAACATGAAATTGCAAACATTACTACATATTTATATAAAAAAATGCATTTTCTAAAATCTCGTTAGGGGAGGGGGTGAGCCCCTAGCCCCCCCCCCTGGTTCCGCCACTGCTTACAGGTTTAACACAAATATGAAATATGAAGCAATACTTGTTTATTATTTATTATCCACATATGCTTGATACAATATAAGAAGAAAAAAAAGAGAAACACATAGTCACTGTCACTAAACATAAGAAGATTAATTTAATAAAAAAAAAAGAATACGAAGAGGAAGAAGAAGAAAAATCTATTGTTTCCTGATCATCACGGGCTAATGGGATAGAATGAAAAAAAAATAATGATGTATAGAATAGATAATTTTATATCGTAGCAAAAATATTTAACTCAAAAAAAAAACGACAGAAACCGGTGTTTTTTTTCTTCATTCCTAGAGTAAAACAAAACAGAATTCTTATCATCATCCACAAAAAGAGATAGTTAAAGCTCGAAATAGAACACAGAGTAAAAAAAACTAACAAACAAAGACTTTCTTTTTTTAAGATTTTTCAGCTGTTATATCAACACGAATTGACGAATTACTCGAACGTGATGGTGCAGTTGATAGATAAAAATTTCCATTACTTCTCGATTGACGTACTGGACTTTGAGTGAACATATGAGTTCGTGCTGAATTAAGAACAGGTGCAATCATTGAACCATTCTTTCTCGATCCTAATGTCGATAAACTATCTGATTCATATATAAAACGTGTTTCAAATGGAGTCGCATATTCATGTGCAACTGGTTGGTTTAGAATATTTTCCGTGCCAATATTAAGTAAAGGTGAGTCTCGTATAGATGCTGTTCGTTGTAATTGACCATGATGTAATGAAACTTCAAGAATATTTCCTGTATAATCAAGGCCATCACGTTTCGGCCGTGTTGGAGATGGTTGTGGTTGTGGTTGACGTCGACGTGGTAATGTATCTGGTTGAATAATAATCGGTTGTGGAATCGATATTGAACCACTACGTGGTAATTGTCGAATAAATGATTCTTCGCCATTCTCAAATGTATTTCCATGTTCATTATCATTATCGTCGACTGTTGGTGTTGTTTGAATATATCGATCAGCCATAAACGGTTGAGATTCACATTGTGTGTAATGATCTAAATAAACAAGAAGTTCAGCCATAGTAGATTGATCATGCATTGAACGAATTTCATCCTCCTCCTCTTCTTCTTCGCCACTATCATCATAGTCGTTGCAAGATGATTGATTACGATGTTCTCGGTAATCATAGGTAGTTGTTGGTGGTTGATGAAAATGAGTTCTTCGTGAACGATTAAAATCTAATGGTATTGTTGAATGTGGTATTGGATATCTATGCTGAGAATAGATCGATGCATCAAGCGTGGTCGAACGATGATTTGTTGGTGGTTTTCTCATTCGTAAACTAGGTGTTGTGCCCTTTTCTCGTGTTGATAGAGGTTCATATTGTACACCTGTATGATGTTTTCTTTTCATTGCATCAAGACTTGTATCTGTTTCTTGTGAATGCATTTGCACTCGACGACGTGGAGTAGCCGAACGAGGTCGACGTGGTGACGATGGACAACGAACTGGATGTGAAGGTGAAGGAGTAACAATATGTCGATGTTGTGGCGGTGGTGATGATGTACGTGATCGATGTGTAACTATAGTACAAGGAGAATATGCTGATGGCGGTGGTCGCGATCGTGGTCGATGAGAATGACGAGTATCTTCTGGTAAAACTGTATAATCATCGTACGGTGTTTCATAACAGGCAGGATAATGTCCATCATAGACATAGTCTATTGTTTCTCGTCGTGGTGGTGAATTCGATGGAGTTCTACATTTAATATATTGATGAAGTATTATATCATATGGGTCATCGTATATAACTCGAGGTGTAGGTTGTCTTGGAATAGGAGAACTTCGTCGGTCAGGATAATAATCATCGTCATCATCATATTTAATTGGCCTTGGCTCAGGTCGTTCTATAAATGAATAATCTGTTTTTGGTGTCTTTTTTGCTGGTAAAAATGTTGTTTGTGTTGATGATGATTGTGGTTGCACTTCATTACCGAAATTTCTTGTTTGAACTGGTTCATGCATAGTACCAACGTTTCGTGTTAATTTTTCTTCCGATTGTGTACTTTCGTCGATGAGTTTCGATTTTTGAGTGTCAATTTTTGGCTGACGATTTGGACTACGATTGCCAATAATCGAATCAGAATCGTCGTCTCGTCTATCACGTTTAGGTCTTGGTGTATTCGGGAATCGTTTACCTGGACCAAAATTTGGTCTTGGTTCAATGAATTCGTCGTCTAAATCAGTTGGCGGTGTTGACGATGGTCGACGAGGTATAGGTTTTTCAGTTGGAAATGTTGGCAGTTTTGCACCTATTTATAAGAAGAAGAAAAATAATCGTAAAACGAATTATTTTAATGTTAAAATCTATCTGATTGGTTTATGCCGACGCTTACTTTTCATAGTCTCTTATCATATATTTTTTTTTGTTTTCGCTATTGCTTCTGTTTTTGTTATTATAAGAAGTAGTTAGTTTTTTTCTTTTTCTGACATTTTTATCCTCAATACAAGACATAAATAATGTATTTGAAAAAAGAAAGAAAGTAATAGACTGATGTACGGAAGAAAATCAAACAGGAACAAAAGCATAAAAATACATTAAGTTTTTTATTTTTTATTTTTCTCCTTTTTTTTCTTTGATTGGTCCGTTTTTTTGTGTCGACAAAATAGACCAAGAAAACCGCGACGATTTTCATGACTTTTAACTGATTTCTGGGATAAATTCGTGTCATAATCTAGATTAGTGTTCAAATTTTCATATTGTACTAATTGTGAATCCGCGGTTTGACTTCTTTCAAGTAGTGTTTCTCTTCCTAATGATGGCTTAGAAGTTGATCGATGACTGCTTGATGCAGTATACATAATTTGCGACGATTTTGTTGATGATTGTTCTGCATTTTTTATCATATCGATTGCAGAATTCGAAGGCATCGCTACATTTATATAAGAATGAATTACTGACGAGTCCGTTTTAGATACATATGTTGGACTTCGAACTTTTGGTGAACGAGTCAAAACAATCTCTTCATCGTTATTTTGTCTTTTTGTTTGCTGACTAACTCTATAGGTTTCACTTTCACTACGAGAACTTTGATTGGTAAATATTGATTCTCGATTATCGAAAGATGACTTTTGAAAAAGAGCAGTTCGATTATCTGATGGCTTTTCATCTAGTAGAGTAGAATCGATAGATGTACCAACATCGACTACTTGTTGAAGTATAATATCCGTTGTTTGATCATTAACATAATTGATATAGGTTCTATACGTCGGTCGTTGTGTTGGTTGTGTTTTCTGTTGTACTATTGTTGAATTTTGTACGCGATTTGATGGTAGTACATCATGACCAAATACTAAACAAACTTCATCATCATCACCATTTGTTGCACTATAGTCAGTTTCTTCGCCAAAATAATATCGATTATTTGGTTCGCTTGAATCACTCTCTGAATCATCTGTTGAAACAGAATTAGTCTTTCCAACAAAACGATTTAAATTATCACCCGTTAATGAGCGAAGAAGAATTGACGACGGACGAAATTCTTTCTCGCTAATAGATTTATGTATTGAATCCGGTGATAGAAATTGATTTCGTTCTCGAACTAATGATTTGATTGTATTCGCCGCACGTTCTTGAACTTCCGAACTGTCTAGTATACCTTTGTATTTATATGCTACTTGTGTATGTTTTGGTTTGTAGCTGTAAACGCTACGATCTTGATTTGGATTTTTAGTTAACATAAAATCTCCCATTATAATCGTATTGGTTTCATCATCATTCGATGACGCAAGGACTTTTTGAGGACGAAATTTTGTTGGTGTTAAAGTATTATCATTTTTTCTATTTGAGCTTATTTCATTATCATTCGACGACCTTGAGGCAACACTAGAGGTTTGTTGATGTGGTCGTAAACGATATATTTTTGGCGTTATAGATTTAATTTGATTACTCATTGAATAATCATAGCTGTGATTAGAATAGCTATCGATATCTTGATATGTTGTAGGAACAATTTTACGAATCATCAATTGTGTCATTCGATTAAGAATAGAATTATTCTGCTGCTGAGATTTTTAATTAAAATACCTGAAGAATAGAATAATGATAGAATAGGATTCTATCGAGCAAAGTAGATATTGATTATTGAAGCCTACTCTAAGATCAATATTAAAAAAAACGATTAAAACCAGCAACAGCAGCAGCAGTAATAATGAAAAACGAGCGCAATGATCTAGTGTGATAATAAACTTACACGTAGAATCAACAAAAAAAAACGAATTCTACCAAGAATAGAATATACTTATGATTTGATAAATATAAACTACCATCACACGAGAGATAACAACAGACAGACAAAGGGAGAAGAACAAGTCAACTATCTGTAAGAACAAATACACTTACCAACTACAATATCTTGCCATGGAGTTTGTATATTAGGTGATTCAACGCTAACAACGCGTACTTTATATCGACCAGCTGACGAAAAAGACAAAAGGTTATTTAATGAAATTAAATTTGAAAAGAGAAAAATTCTTACGATCTCGAATAACGTAATCAGGAAAGTCAACTAATGAACGACCTTGAATTGGTTCGAGATCTCGCATGAGTACTGTTCGAATTTGTGAACTTTGTTCAACTGAAAATAAAAAAATTTCTTCTTTTTCTCCTGTGTGCTTGAATTCCGGACAGAAGAGACTTCAACACTTTATTTTACGATTGAGCGACGAGGAAAAAACAGAAGCTCTTACGTCGTTCTTCTAATTTGACACGGTCCGTTACTCCTTCATCTCCAGCTGCACTGAATGTTTGTAATTTATCACCAGCAATAACAGTCGATTGCGGTGGATTAAACCATTCGAGACGCGTCAATTTTGGTGCTAAAATACAGAACATTTTCGTATGATTTAAAAACTTAATTTTGTTGCTATTTACATCTTAGCGATTCCATCAGTCGTATAAACAGAAAATGGTCATTGACATCCAAATATTTGTCCTTGAAGAAAAAGCGACACAGTTTTAAAACTTCATATAAATTTTCAAAATAACACTTACGGATGAATTTAATATTTCGTCTCGATTTTCGTCCAATGATTCCAGATCATTAATACTCTATTTAAAAAGCTCAAACGTAAATAAATTTTCTTAGCGAATTAAATTCCTACGTTCGCTAATAATGTCGGGAGACTTCTTTCAAGTCCATGTTCTCGAAGTAAATCTACTAGACGCATATCAACTCCATAGAATCCAATGCCTTGCACGCGAATATCATCACCGCCATAATTATCCGATAGGAACACACGAATAAAACGAGTTTTTAATGCTTGAAAAAACACATCGTTCTTATTGCCTTCTATAAAGAAAAAAACGAGAGTAGATGTTGGATAATAAATCTTCACGACATACGAGATAATGGACAAGTAAAATCTTTCACTTTTAGCCACGGTCCATTAAACGCAGTTGATACATCAATATGACCACTTCTCGGTGTCGATTGATTATCACTGAGAGAAAAAAAAGCAACATTGTCAAATAAATTATTTTCGTTTTCCTACCATCCAATAATTCTCATTCCACTAATATTATATTGATGTTTCAAATCAAAAATAACCCAAGCATCTTTATTCTGTCTACAACACCAATAGGATCCACTCGTAGCTGAAGAAGAAAAAAATATTCAAAAAGAAAAATTATTTTCTTTCTTACTATCGAGAAGATTTTGTACAGATGAATTGTTATCAGTTGGACTTCGAAATTCTTCACTATCCAGCGTCCAATTAGGATGACTGCGCAGTAATGGATGAACATATGGAATAGCGTTTGCTTGAGAAAGAAAAAGAAAAATTATTAAATTGCACCAAAATTAAGCCCGCAAAAAAATTATTATGTAAATAAAAAGCAGCTATAGCAGTGATGAAAAGAAAAATAAACCTATAACTTGTGCAAAAAAAACTACAAAACCAAATGGCATGCTCATGCATAAGTGTGGGACACTTACTGATCAATATGTGTTTTCTTTTTAAAGACTAAAAGTCAGACTTTGTTAGTTCGATTTTAAATTCACACGAAACACACAGATTTTGTTCATTTTTTTTCTTTTTTTTTCTTTATACCTGGCATAGATCCATTTGAATATACGTGAAAACCAGATGCTTCAACTCTTGGCGTATCTAAATAGGGAAACAAAATTGAATTTATGACTTGAAAGTTTGTTTTTTTTTGAAAATTCAAGAAAAATAATTTCTTTCACCCGACAAAAGAAAAACAAACTAACATGGTGATCAATATAAGTACGTGATAATCAACGAAAAATAAAATCAGAAGCAGAAGTTCAAACAATTTTATTGATAGTTTTTTTTTGCACACCTCGGTTTATTGTTGATATTGTGTCAGTAGTTGTGTTTAGATTTAGCATTGGTACCGATAAAGGTATCGTTTTTGAAGATAATGTTTCTATCTTTCTCCCTTCGTTTATATCAGATGCTATAGACAAGATTAATTAGGATGAGGGATTTAGATTATGTTTTTTTTTCAGTGTTATTGTCTAAAAATATGACAAAAACAGTATTCTTTATAAATATACTTACGGATAAGTACGTTGACAAATGACTGTTGCTGATCCGGTTGTAAATATTCGGCTATACCAATGGGTGTTTCGCCACGATTATTTATCAAATTTTTATCAGCACCATGGGAAACCAAAAGACGAGCAGTCGATAGTTTTAATGAACGAACTCTATACTCAAAAATATGTCTCATTCAATTTTCGTTGTTCAATTCTATTTAACGTACGCAACGTGAAGTGGTGATGTATGTGTTCGATCGCATATATTCGGGTCCATGCCATAGTCGAGTAGTGTTTCCAAACATCTATCATGACCTACGCAAAAATAATTAGAACAATCAGATAGAAAGTAAAACGAATAATGAAAATTTACCTAGACGAGCGGCAATGATTGCGGCTCGATAAGCTCGTTGTACTAAATTTGGATCATGAGAAAGTAAAACACTGGTAATTTCTGTTCAATCGAGAGAGAGAGAGAGAGAGAGAGAATTATTTTTATTTTTATTTTTCAGAGATTTTATACCTGGTTTATTAGCCAAAGCCGCTTCATCAAGAGCTATTCTTTGATTTCGATCTTCCAATGCTGGATCAGCTCCAGCCTTAATAATAAACAAATAATAGTCATCACCAAGCAGGTGAAATAAAAGAAATATTTTTTCGATCTACAGAGATTCTCGTATGTTGACGAGAAGCTCATAGGTAATTCAGTGACTTTTTATTTTATGTTTATCTTCGTTCAGATATGAATCTCAAAGGCTCAATTTCTCAACGTTCTTCTATTGACATAGTCTTTTGTTAAAAAAAAATAGTAAAAATCAATTCACTTACATTAAGCAATGCTCGTACATGATTCGCATTATCATCAATATATGAAACGGCCGCACGATGTAGTGCTGTTTTGCCTGATTTATTAAATATATTTGGATTAGCACGATATGTCAAAAGTAAATCAACGATACGATATTTTTGACGATGAACAGCCAAATTCAATGCTGTATCCCTAAGATGAAGAAAAATAATAACTATAATACTAAGATTAATTTCTAGAGTCCTAAACAAAAAGCAAACACCGACTAACGAATAAAACCCCGTGTAAACTTCAATCCTTTACTCTAATATTTTCAATGCAAATAGAGCTCGATAAACTCCGATTACAAGCCATAACTCAAGGTCGATCAGTTTTAATCCAAATAATAATTTACGATAAAAGCACGACTTCTGTTTCTAGAGAATACTCGAGACTTTTTTTTACACTCTTCTAGTGTTACACGGTTTAATTATGTTAATCTCGATTTTCTTATGAGAGATGATACTGGACACTTTTCAACGATTTCTATCTTAGACTAAATGAAAATTAATTGATATATCAGGTTGATCATGTCTTTACACAAGCGAAATTCAACATGCTCGAACTAACAATTCAAATATTGATTGTGCATTATGAACATTACATGTAGACGTATAGGATAGTCTTTAGTACTAGAATGATGATAAACAAAACAAAAAAAAACTTTCATTTCTTTACATTTTTAATGAATACGTTGCTGTCAAGACAAAGAAAATATACGTGAACGAGTGGAGGACGAATACGAAAACTATTCTCAATTAACTAACCCTGTGGAACATTGTTTATTTGGATTAGCGCCATGTACAAGAAGAATTTTCGTTTTTTCATAAGAACCTTTGCCAGCTGCAATAATCAATGGTGTTACATTATAGCGTGTGGCTACGCAATCAATAAAATCAATCTGATCATCAATTGCCGCATCATATCCCATCACTTCTGTAATATTTCGAAAAGGTCTTCGATGATATGCTTGTAGGAAAGTCTTAAATGAAGAAAGAAGAGAAAAAACTTGTCGAATTATGAATTTTTCCATTGAAAATTCAGAAACATACAAACAGTTGTTCCGCACTGCCTCGGTCAACGATGGTCAACAGTTGCTGACGCCGCTGTTGATCCTCGTGCCGATGATCCATTATAGTATAATCTGAAATCAAAGAAAAATACGATTTTTCTTTTTTCTTCTGTTTTTGATTTATTTCAATTTCATATGAATAACAGAATATAAATGTCGATAGAATAATTTCAATACAGATAGACGAGGTAGAAGTTTAACAAAAAGTGGTAACATAGATGTATCGCCGTTCGCATTAATTATCAAAGTCAAATAGAATATCAGACGTTGCTAATAAAACAAAAGAGTAAAATTCATTAGAATAAGATCAAACAAATACCGAAAGAAAGCCTTCATTGATTAAAATATCTTTTATTCGATTTGAACTAATAAAAATTGTTGTTTGTCTTCCAATTACATAAGTTGTTGTCAATTGTAAACCCATTTGATTGCTAACAATAACACATTCTATTTAAAAGACGTAAAACATCAATAAAGACACGCACATAATCCATGAATAGATGAATTTGAACGAAAAAAAAAGCAATAAATCTCTTACCACGTTTTACTTTTAAATAAGCTTTTATTATCACACCAGCTAATAAAATAATCGAGAGAAATAATAATAAACTACTATCCTAAAATAGATCATTTGTTATTTCATCCAAAGGGAAAGAAAAATATTTTTGTTTCTTTACATTTTTATGTACTCCAATAAGAGCAGCTAGATAAGTAAAAATAATGGTTGAACCAATCCATTTTTGAACATGTAAGATGCGTCGTTTTAATCGGCATTCAGTGATTAAATTATTTTCATGTTGAATTATTTCATAATCAAGTAATTCACCGTAAATATTTTCACATGTTCCACCGTTGAATTTCATCTAGAAAATCATCAGTCACATATTTTGTTGTTATTGTTGTTTCTTCATATTTTTTGAATTCTCTTCTCGATTTCTATGAGACAGATTTATTTTTTTATGTTGGAGAAGAAATCCCAATTTTTTTTTCTTTTCCTTTTCAAAATCAAATTTTATTTTGTTAGAAAAGAAAAAGTTTCCCTTTCTAGATCACAGTCGAGGCTGTTGCATACTGTAAGATTCGAGTACATGTTTTCAGGAAAAAAGAAAAAAAAAAGAAAAGAATACTTGAGGTGTAGATTGTTTTATTCCGCCATGTGATAATTGATTAACCACCAGCCAATACAAATAAATAGCTTTTTATGAAGATCTATAGGTGATTGAAAAATAAGAAAGTGAAGAAGAAGAAACGAGTGGTTCGATTTGTTAAAATAAACGCTTCTATTATTGTTAGTTCTAGAATTAATTTTCAATTCATCTAGAAAAAAAAACTCAAATCTTAAAGACTTATCCATACTTCATAGATCAATAGATCGATGTACAAGGCTTCTGCAGTAGTTATAATATTTATTTTGGAATATTCTACTGCCCGTTGATCAGACATATTCATCTCATCGACCTACAACTTAGTATATATATAACTGCATACTTCTAAGTTCTACTAAGAAGAAGAAGAAGAAGGTCTTTTTAAGTCATTCACTTAACCATTCGAACAGGAATATTTAAATCCAAGAAAATAACAACACCTACTATATATTTATTAATGCGGGTACATGTTACATTAAACCAATCATCTTAAGTAGGTGAATTAATCGTATTGATTTCGTACAAGACGAACGAACTTTTCCATAACGACGAGTAAATTTCATAATGAGTGATTCCACTGTAATGTGGCGTCAAATTTTCTTTGGCTTGTGTAGGAGTATCATAGTTATAGAGTGTAAGGAGAAAAAAACTACAAATGATTTATGCTACGTAAATTGACTCAATACTTGTTAAAACACCTACGATCATTTTAATTTCCTATAGAATTACCTGAAAGAGAAAAAAATTTTCGTTTTTTATTTAACTAATCTCATTGTCAATTTGACAGGATTTAGTTTTCTACACCGATGTACTATTGTTTTACTCTTAACCAACACTCAAGTTTTGTAAAATGTTTATTTCGGTTTCAACAAAAAAAAGACGAAGAAAAAAGGAAAATGAATAATACAGATCTGCATGAATAATTTCTTGATGATTGATGAAGAAGAAGAAGAAGAAGAAAAAAATGATGTTTGAAAATCTCAGTACACAAGAAATATAGTTGAACAAAATAAAATAAAATAAAGAAAGGACAACTTAGCTAACGTAAACTGATGGAGACCGAATGTAAAAAAAAACAACGTTTTTTTCTTCTTCATAATGGGATACATTTACTGTTGACACGATAAAGTTGTAATAACAACAGAAAGAAGAAGACGAAGAAGAAGAAGAAAAAAAAGAAACAACATCAATAATAATAAACTGACCGTAGATCATGCTTTGCATAATTGTCGTAAACCGACATTGTATTGTTAAAGAGAAAAGAAAATGAAAATTGATATTTGTTATTTTCGGACATGAAATCTATTCTTCTGTATTTTCTTCACCTTGTCATAACAGATCCAATTTCGAAGGCCGCTTGCACCTCTTTTCTGTCTTTCAATTTTTTCTTCTTCTCCTCCTCTCATAATATGTACAATTTTGCGGTTTGTCCCTCATCAGCTTTTTTTTACGCACACTCGCGCTCACATCGCTTCAGGCAGGAAAAAGAAAAGCCGTGTTACTTTTACTTCTGCTTCTCTACTCTTTTATTTTCTGCTTCCTTTCAACATTCTTTTATCGATAACAGCAATGGCAATGAAAAAGCAAAAGGAAAAAAGAAAGAAGAAATAAAACTCGACTGAATTTCAAGTTCTGTCATTCAGCGACGAATGGTTGACTGCTTAGCTCACGGCTGCACAGTGATGATGATGGATAAACGTCGAACAAACGAGTTGGCTGATACACAAAGTCAACATATCTCGAAAAGGTAAATAGAAGGAAGAAAAGAAGCCCGAAATAAGAGCGAAACAGATTTGTCAACTTACGTTACAAAAGCGAATAGTAAAAGAGCGAGAGCGAGTGAGAGGAGAAAGATCTCTGTGTGGTTTCAATTTACAATTAAGCTTACTTTACTTTGCTGTCATTCATTGATGAAGGCGACAACTTTGCTTTTTTTCTCTTCGTTTCACAAGAGTAAAAAAAGGCGAAAAAACCGAAGAACAATCTTCAAATCCAAAGAACAAAAATATCTCTCGTAGAATCAATACTCGTGTTATTCAACTAATCTCTCATTTAAATCGTCAACCGCATGCATAAACATGTTTCGAGCTCGTTTGTCACGTCGGCATCTTAAATGAAAGACTTAAATCAATATTTGACGAAACATGAGCATCCCACAATAATAAACTAAAATAGAATTTCAAAGAGAAAAATGATTAGTTGTTTATCATTTTTATTGAAATACATTGAATACAACAACAGCAATAACAAAAAGAAATGATACAAAAATTATGTGTTCAATCCATATTTAGCTTGTGTCTTGGCTAGTTTTTCTTTTTCTTTTTCTAAATTCATTTTATCGAATGCTTTATTTGCTTGATAATAAAGTACAACTAAATAACGATTGCAAACATTAAAACCAGATAAATGATCGCATGCATTTTTAGCATCGAATATATCTTCATAGACAACAAACGCAGTACCTATAAAAAAAAGAAAAGAGTAAAGATATTTACAAAAGAAGAAACAACGAAAAGAGTTTACTCGATTTACCTCGTGTATCCGGTGTGTTGCCCAGACGAATTTGACGTATAGCACCGTATTTACCAAATATATCATACATTTCTTCGCCTGAAATTTTATACGGAAGGTTGCGTACGTATAACACACGATTTATTTCAGGTGGTAAACGAAGATTAGCGCGCTTTTGCATGGCCATTTTGTTGATTTAAAGTAAAATATGATACTAATCTGAAAATATTATTACAAATGAATACATAAGCTAAATGAAAGTCAAGAGCTTTTCAAAAAAACAAAACATCAAAATATTGACTGTTAATAATTAAAAAAAATATTTTTTAAGACGACTTAAAAACAGATATCAATATCTTGTGAAATAATATAACTCTTAAAAAGGTAAAATAGATGAGATAGGAGTCATTAAATGGACACTGTCGTAATAAAATTTATTATCTTCAGAGTTTTCTTGTGATAATATTTGAAGAATTACAATCTAAACGTTTGTTATGACTAGCTTCAGTTTTTGTCGCAGGATAGATTTTCATAAAGCAAAAATAAAATTTGGTCCAAGACTCTTTGATACTGATAGATTAACATGAATTTTATTAATTAGAAGGAAAAAGTCTTATTATATAAATTAAAGACATGTTTTGGCATTTTTCTATAATGCATAGTACCTATAAATAAGGATAGGAACATATGCTAAGGCCTTCATCACGGGTGCTCTCATATTAAATTTAGATTTAGAGAAAAATGAAATTTGTCATGAACAATATTTATTGATCCAAAAAGTTGACGGTATCTATACTGAAATCAATAGAACGACTATATTTAAGATGCAATCAACTTATGTCATTTGAACTGATTATTAGAACAACAGAAAGCTGAACGCACGAAGGATCTGATTTTGCTACTTAACATCTTCTCCTGTCTATCTTATAGTAAATCACTATTACACTAATCGTATTTAAATGGCTTTTAAGAATATATTTGTCAAAAAGTTTTTATCATAATGAATTCTGCTATTTATAATAGCATTAAAATAGAAGAAACTAATACGGACCCTGAAGGCAGACAAGCCCCCTGCAGTTTCGTATTTTACGAAAAGAAAAAGGTACTCGTAGACTTGTGAAGACTAATCATTCTATAGGCTTACCACCTGGTGTTTAAATATTTAGAAGGAAGATTGAGACTGTTGTTACCTCCCACTGTGTGTCTCATATGAGCGATTCGTTTTTTCTTTTTTCTCCAGGTTTATGTGATCTGCATTTCAGGACGTTTAGGTGTTAAAAATACAATAAACTAGCTTTCGACTTTTTACACTTTCATCTTCTCATATTTGGTCATAATAAATTATCTTACTAATAGTTCATATGAAACAAACAAACAAACAAACAAACAAAACTATCAACAGTACAATTTATGCTAGTGAGAAAGCGTTGGCATTTTATGGCCAATTTTGGCAACCAATTAAAATGCATTAGCCAATTCAATATTCTGATATATATATATATTTTGCAAATTTCAGTAATAATATTTAAGTGACATCTATCTGAATAAGATTTTTGTTTTTCTATAAATTATTAGTAAAAAAAACAAAACAAATTGTATCGAAATTAAGAAATATTTTATTTAATAATTAATCTTTATTCTTCAATTATTCGCTCTTCTCTTAGCCAATTCTAACCTATGAAATCTCAAAAGCAAACAACATGGCGATACAATGAAAATCTGCGTGCAAAAAAAATAACCCCAAAAAATAAAGAAATGCAGATGTTTGATTTGAATCAAAAAACTTCGTTCGAATGAAGTACTTATTAATATTGAAAGCATTTTCTTTTGTCATCCGTCGATCAACCGACGATATAAATGGCTCGAACAGAACCATCCAATATTAATCATTGTGTGGCTTCATCAGTAACTTCTCCTGTTAGTAGTAGTCTGTCAAAAGATTCTATTCAACGTAGTGATGAAATTAAAACTGAATTTACTTCGCGTGAAGGTACTTATAAAATATCTTCGTTGATTGATAATCTGGGTAAAATTGGTACAAGTACATGTCTTAATGAACCAGTTAAAATAACATTATTATCTCGTGTAGAGACTATTTGTGATACAAATAGTCAAGCAAGTTCAAGACGTTCATCATTGACAAATGATAATTCTATTGAACAAAAACCTTTATTGTTAACCAATGGAAATAAAGTGAATGGAACGATGTTTTTTACAGATATTTTAGCATTTAATGTTGGAAAAGAATTAATTATTTATGAATTTGCTGAAGCTACACAGGTAGATAAATAATTGCATACTATCGATCTTAAACTTCTGAGCAGAAAAAAAAGTCAATATAATTGTTAGATAATAAAATACTAATGTCAACGTTAGAATTGCTCGTAAAGAGTATAATTGATAAATTTTAGCTAAATTTGGGTGAACCAATTGATCATCGTATTTATAAACAAAATCATCAGTCTACATGTCACGATATCACTCAAAATCCAAATACGAATGTTTTACATATTCTCGTTGGATTTTCTAAAGGACAAATACAATATATCAATATGCAAACAAAAGAACAAAAAGTATTCAACGAAGGAGTAAGTGCACAAACAAGAAAAGACTCGTTTGTATAATTGTCATAATAAATTAGAGTTATTTGGATAAATCAAAAGTAACATGTATCAAATGGTTATCATTTCCTAGAACATATTTTATTGCATCATATTCAAGCGGTTATTTATATGTTTACGATGAACAACTTAATTATCAACGTGATACAAATATTCAACCAACATATGCAACAATAAAAGATGATGAAAAAAATTTTTCTATATCATATACTAAAGTTTGTTTTTTAATTAATTATCGAAATGAATTCTGATGGAAAAATTTCCAATTTTTAGAATAACACAAAACAAGCACGCAATCCAATATCTCGTTGGTCGATTGGTAATGGAAGTATCAATGAATTTGCTTTTTCGCCCGATAGCGTTCTATTAGCTGTAGTATCACAAGATGGCTTTCTAAGAATATTTAATTATGATAAAATGGAATTAGTTGCGTACATGAAAAGTTATTTTGGTGGACTTCTTTGTGTAAGTTTTTTTTCGCGTTCTAATACTTAGCTACGAGTAATCGGATCTAATTTTGTCATGTCAAAATAGGTATGTTGGTCGCCCGATGGTAAATATGTTGCAACAGGTGGCGAAGATGATTTTATTACACTGTTTTACTTTGATCCCAACGAACATACATCACGTGTAATATGTCGTGGCAATGGTCATACATCATGGATAAATTCCATATCATTTGATTCGTATATGAATGCTAAAACATATTATTCATCGTTTATTCAACCATCATCTTTGTACAATGATAATGATGGAATGAAAAAATTTATTTCACATTCACATAGTGATGCATCATATTGTGATACAACTATCCCGTCATTATTTTATCGTATTGGTTCAGTTGGACAAGATAATCGTCTATGTTTATGGGACATAACTGAAGATATTCTTAAAATAAATTCAAATAGTAAACAAAATTCGTTAGTGCATTCATTGATATCCTCAGTGAAACCAACGACAAATGGTTGTACAACATTATCATCTGATACACTAACAAATACGCAGACATCATTAGGAAAATCTTCATTGTCATCGTTGGCATCTCGTCTTTCAATTATACGACGTTCGAATAAAATAAATAAACCTATTGATGACGCATTCGATACAAATTCCATAGCACAATCCAATGGTTCATCGAAAAAATCTCGAAAAGTACCCTTATTTTTAAATGGAACAAGTACGACTAAATCGATATCATCGAAAAATTCAACAACATCCGATGATACAAATCGCAGTCTACTATCGGCATTAACAAATAATAATAATTCATCGTCCCGCCAATCAAATTTCGATCTCACAAAAAATACGTTCGGTACAAATCTATGTCCGAAATTAGAAGATATACAAATGATTGAACCCGTTATTACGGAATTTATATCAAACGAACGTTTAAATGGAATTTATTTCGGTGAAAACTATTTAATTACATCGTCGCAAGATGGATTTATTACAGTTTGGGAAAAGCCACAAAAACTCCTGAATATTAATACTGTAAGTAGAACAAAATTAGATTATAACGGAGTGACCGAAAATGTTTGTTCACCCGTTAGTTTCAAGAGAATTTTATTTACATATTTTCTCTACTATATTCTAGACCGACGATCGAACAATAAATTCAACAGCAATAAATAACAGTAATTCTCACCATTCGACAGTTTCCCATCGATTATAATTCTCTAAACTTAATTTTCACTGAAAGTTTAATAATGTACAAAGTAACTATTATTGTTCTCCTATAAAACAGATTCGTTTTTCTAACTATCCCATTATTCCTTTAATTAATAAGTATAAGAGAATAAGTAGCCAGAAATAATTCTTATTATATACACACGCACAGACCTCTATCCGGTGACTCGAATCTTTTTGTTTTTCTTTAAAATAATTTTCTTCGTTCATTAATGTGCGCTGGAGCTTCTTTTTTCTTTTTCTCATTCTTGTTTTGGAAGGCACCTATGCGTATATTGACATATGCGTGTGTACGATTTTAACGAACTTGCTTTGCTCTTGTGCTGCGTATTTAATTGCTAATGCTACTACTTTTCTCTCAAATCTAACCGCGTGCTCATTGTTGAAAACAAATTAAACAAATGTCTTGACTTGAACATAAAATAAATAAATATATGTATGTCTTATAAAATCTTTTCGTTTAAAATATTTAAAGAAAAAACCACGATGATGAAAATTTACTTAGTATATTTTGATTGATGAAACATGTTGTGGAATAACACGGTTAGCTTGTGTTATCGCACATGTGAAGTCGCTCTATGATTATTTGATTAATCTTCTCTCTGAGTGGTTTTCGATTCAGAGAAAAAAATGCATAATTTAAATGGAAAATTTTCTTTCATTTTTTGTTGTTGTTATTGTTGTTTTATAGATGAAATCAACGAAAGTTATTTCACCATTACTTTCATGTCAAGCATTAACCGAACTTTTACGTTCACCGCCGAAAAGAATATCAATTCTTGAAGCAGACATTGGAAAACAATTTCAACAAGAATTTCAATCGTACGTTTCGTAGAGAAAAAATTTCGATCACTAGATCTCTTTAATTCCGTGTTATCCGTTTTGTTCGATTGCTAACTTTTAGTACTCATATTCCACAAGCTCGATATTTCGATCAACTGGAATGTACACAACCAACGAAATTAATACCACGAGGTTTACCTGAAATCAAATGTTTCGAATCGTATCTCTCACGTTTGGGCGTATCCAATAATGATCATATTGTTCTCTACGATCGCTCACCTATGGGGTTCTATGCATCGACTCGAGCCTGGTGGTTATTTAAAGTAACTTTTAGTGTTTAGTTTCTTTGTTTAGATGAATATAGTTTTAGACGTATGGAGTTAATAGTTTATCAATTCTTAATGGTGGCTTTCTTAAATGGTTAAAAGAAACTAATAAAACTGAATCATCCGATAATAATCCTGCCAAAACAGAAGAGGTAGAAGAGGGAGAAAAAAAACAGTCATATTAATTTATTACTGTTTTTTCAGACAGGAAAGTTTACCGTTCGTTTCAATGAACAAATGATAAAAAACTATAATGATATATTAAATCTCGTATCAACAAACAGTAAAGAATCACAACTTGTTGATGCAAGACCACCCAGTCTATTTAATGGTTTAGTTTTTTTCCATTTCTGATTATAACGGTTTATTTGTTTATTGATTTCTAGGTGCAAATGCTGGACATATTCGTGGTTCGTTGAACGTTCCATATTCACAGCTATTTGATCAGACAAATCAGGGTTTAAAATCGAACGATGAACTTAAGAAAGGTAAACTCAGTAGCTACAGCATTGATTTTGATATCATATTCTTGTTTTTTGTTCTTCTAGTTTTTACTGATGCTGGAGTAAATCTATCAAAACCTTCCATCTATTCTTGTCAAACAGGAACAACAGCAAGTGCATTAGCTTTTGCAGCACACATTCTCGCTCAGCAATCTCTATCAGTTTATAACGTAAGTTTAGTTATACAATATTTGATAGAAATCCAGCTGCACATGTATATTTATCGCATCATCAATATAAATGATGTTTGAGAAAATTATTTTATTTTTGAAAAACATGTGCAAAATGAAACATGGAGAAATGTTCTTATTTCTTTACTCAAAACCTAAGGGCTGTTTGACATTAAGAATCAAGTCATATTCAGCAGTATAGTTTTGACACAAATTTCTTTTTATATTTTAGGGTTCATTCGGCGAATGGAAAGAACTTGCACCTCCAGAATTTATTGTTCGTGATCAAGTAGTCGATCCTGCTGCTTAGATGAAGAATACTCAAGCTACTTTTGCTAAATTTTATAGAAAACAAAAAATGAATATTTTTCAGTTTAGTTAAGGTTATTTATTAAATCTCAAATCTCATCCTTTTTTCAGATAATGTTGCCCGTCAGAACGGGTTTTCAGTTATTAACTCGGTGGCGACCATTTTTGATACATCCATCAGTTCGTAATGTGATTACTGGTCGTTCACGTTCAGAAGCACCACAATCTGTACCAGATGGTTTGTATGATTGAAAATCTTCTCCGGATTCAAAATTGACTTGTCTGTTGAATTTATAGATTGGGGCACTTTAAAGCCACTCGACAAAGATCCAGTATCAACACCTATAGTACGCGATCAAAAACGTGTCGGTGCACCCAATGAAGTTAAAGGAAAAGAAATTGAAATTTTATGGCCAACAGAACGTGAAATACAAGAAGGAGAATATGGAAAACCGCAATGGGAAAGAAAACAGATCAATGTACGATTTCGATTGGAAAAATTCATTTGAACTTTATGAAATTCAATCCGTCTATTTTAATTTTAGCATATTTGGTACGGTTATGATTTCAATGATAAATTTCAAGATGAAGCCAAAATGAAACAACGAATGTTTTCCCTTGTTTCAGTTGGACTGTTTTTGTTTTGGTTTATGTGGCGATATTTTCCTGATCGATTGTAAAGTTTTTATATTTCAAAAAAATTTTAATCATAAAAACTCAATTTAGATTAACCAATTGGTGTCAACGTGAAGCCTATCTTCGTTTAGCTGCACATGAAAGTCTTGGCCAACCAGGAGTTAGTCCTTGGTATGTCGATCCAACTAAAGTAGAACCATATTTACCAACTGATGAAGAACTTGGCGACATGCAAATTGAAATTTAGAAGAGAAACAATTGAATTAGATTATTATTAGTGACACTCTCAGTTTCATTTTTTCATCCCTCTTTCGATCTTGCGTGCTCTGTTTGTGTAAATGACTCTGGTCGTCTCTTTTTTTTTGCATATTAAACGAAAAAAACAAATACAACTAGAGCCATGACTCGTTTTTAATATATATATATATATACACATTTGATTTTCAATTAAATAATATGGTACAACAAGAGAGGTTTAACACACACCAGAACAAAACGTTTCTTTATTGATTTTATTGCCTAAACAAAATTCTCTTGATAAATATTTGTTTTGAGTGAAAGCAAAGAAAATTTGAAAGTTCAATCAGTATTTTATTATGAAATCTAAACAAAATCTATTTCAATCATATATGTGCAAATGAAATTGCCTTGGATATACTAGAAAAGAAAGATTATTCCTTTAAGAACAACTGTTTGACGAAATTATAATTAGAAATACAAAACAAATCGTCCGAACAGGTCGTCCAAAGCTAAATTAAAGAGGAATCGTTTGTTCTATGAACACAATTTGTTTTACATTGGTTATAAATATCGGCCGGCAGCTAGGAATCTTGAACAAACTCTTACCAATAGGCATATTTGTACTAGTGTTGTTGTTGTTGTTGTTGTTGTTATTAGATCAAACAAGGATATTGCGTTGTTATATGATTTCACGATATCTCTCTCGCGCTCTCTCTCTCTCTCTCACCCTCGCTCGCTCTTTCTTTACAGCTGACATGATACAAAGCGTATGCAAACGCAATGCACTTAGAAGCTATATCATTCAGTCATTCTTTTCTCTGTTCATTTTTGTATATATATATAAATAGTCAGCTAACAGATGTTTGCTATTCTTTTCTTTCGAAATCATTCGAGGAAAGTCGAATCGATCCGTCAAGTGTTTTATCCGAGGTTGTTTTGATTCCCATTGATCGTATCGTTTCAATCAAAATTACTATTTAATTTGTTTGCATAAAAAAGAGAAATGTTAATGAATTCATTTGGTGCTTCACGAAAACGGCCATTGGGTACCGACAAGGAAAATGTCTGGTCATCGATGTTAGGCATCGAAGTGTAAGAAGAATTTTCTTTCTTTATTTAAATTAATATTGATAGATTCGTTTTTTTCTTCTTCTGGATAGTGATACAGGTGTTGCAACAAAACAACCACGCCTTGCTCTCGGTTCAGCAATTCTCGATAATAATATTTTTAATTCAAGTTAGTATTTTTTTTAAAATTCGTTTTTGAACATAATTCATGTGTTTTTCTTTCTTTTAGTTCCATATTCACCACCGGACAGTTTTTTCATCAAATCACTCGAACGTATGTATCAAAACGGAACGAAATTATCGGTTTCAATTCTATTTTTTGCTTTTAGCATGGTCTCCGTTGAAACCGGACTCAGTTCAACTTGCTCCAGCACCTGAACGCCGATCACTGAGTAAGGAAAAACACTTCAAGGAATTTTTGATTTATATATTTTCTAAATTTAGATCGTGCAGAGACTCGCTATAAAAATGGTTCGTTTCGTCAAGTTTTAAAATCGATTCGTTCGTTAGGCGAATATGGTGATGGAAATAATGCATTTCGTGAACCCAACAGTGTGGCATGGCTTGAACGAGGAAAATTAGCTGTCGTCGATACCAATGCACATTGTATTAAAGTATTCGATAGTGAAACCGGACAATTTGAATATTCATTTGGTCGTGGACGAACAATGGGCTGCCAAAATCTACTGTATCCATATCGAATTGCCGTTGTACCGGGTGGAAGTGATCAATTAGTTGTTATTCAACGACATCCTCGACCGCAAATTCATATATTTACTTGCACGGGTGAATTTATTCGTCGATTCGGGCAACATCTAGAAAAACCTCGTGCACTAACAGTGGATAAATCGTATCGAATTATTGTTATTGAATCGCAAATACAAAAATTACATATATTTTCACTTGATGGACAAATTCTTTCATTATTCAATTTAAGTGAACAACTGAAATTTCCAACATCGATTTGTTCAAATAATTCGGAAATATTTATATCAGATAATCATCTTCATTCAGTGAAAGTTTTTTCATATCATGGACAATTATTACGTGAAATAAAAGAAGATAATTATATAATGTTTCCAACCAATATTAAATTGAATACCAAAGGACAATTAATAATAATTGATAATCATCAAGGCTTAAATATAACTGTTTATGATGAATATGAACAACGAAAACGTTTAGGTGCTTATACAGCACGAATATGCCATTCACAAATACTCGATGTAACCATTGAATCAAATCAAAAAAATATTCTTCACTTAGCATCGAAGGATTATCGAGTGTACACATATCAAATGCCGTTGTAAATAACAATAAAATTTATTTTTATTTTTTAATATGAAACTTGAATGTTTAGTCTACTTTATCGTTCGGTAGTTGTTCATATTTACCTCTCTCTTTCTTTTTTTTTATCATAAGTTAACGTTCTGATTTTATTTTCTCTTTTATTTCACCAAATATATTATTTTCTAATTAAACAAATACTAGCGTCCTCTTTACAAAAAACGATGTTTTTTCATTGGTCAGAGGCTTGGCCGATGTCGGTTGGCTAAAAGCAATCTAGTCATAAATAATCGTGTATTTTCCTAGTTGCATTTGCAGAATTGGCAATAGAAAGTTGACAAATAAGAACTTAGTATTGCAATCTTACATAAGATATAAAGATTAATGTTATCATCATATATAACAATATTAACAATTCTATAAATCATTGCTCAATCATAGCTTTTTATCTAATGATCGAACTTTTCCTCGCTTCGTCATGTTGTATCATTTGTTTTTAGATGTATCAATGTTATAGTACTAAACATTTTGTTTTCACGCTGTTTATCGTATGCAATGTTATTGGATATATCAAATTAGGTAAAGACATCATTTTTTTGTTACGAGGAATACATGCATCGATCAGTTCTTCGCGTCTACCAGATCGGATTTGGTTATCTTAGGAGTGTATGAAATACTGATTTCCATTATTTTTTGTTCGAAAATGTTTTGTCTACAAAAAAACTTAGCAGTGGAGATTGAGAGAAGCAATGAATTCTAGCAAATAGGAGTAAGTTTTAAGCTGTTTATGTAAGCGTTGAAGCGAAAATTTTCATTTCTATGGTGATTTTTTTTAAAGAAAAGAAAAAAAGCTTATCATGTTTTTGATGTTACACTTCGCGATAGACTTCAACTCATACTTCTAAATAATACACAGGGAATCTCTCCACATAGAGCACCTTTGCCTATGATTTAATGTTGCACTTTTTCTTCTAGCAAGTGCCAATGAAAAATCAAAACGACCCGATGATACAGATATAATAGAGCCTATATCCGTAAGTTTTAGTATGACTAAAACATACATGTGTTGATTATAAAAATTCTTGTTTCTAGCCCGAAGCTGTTGCACCCGAAGCTCAAATACATTTACATGCCGATGACGCAGCTCATCCACATCAACATGATGATAAATCAACTGCCCAAGAGAAAACTTCCGAAACAAAATCCGAAAAAGATGAGGATGAAAATATCGATGATCTAAATGATTCATTGCACGATTTAATTATTGAATATCGTATAAAAGAGCAAGAAAAGAAGAATGCAAAAAAATCTCAAGAGAATGAAGAAAATGTCGATGCAGAAGAAGATGATGACGACGATGATGATGATGACGCTAATTTACAACGCGTATTAAAACAGATCGGTGTTAGTTTACATAAAAAATATCATCAAAAACAAACGACCGATCAATCAACAAAATTATCGGCGATGATACAAGATTTATATCAAACAATAAAAACCACTCGACCACATTTATTTACTAAAGCAACCAGAAACGATGATAGAGAATTACCTGCAGATACAAATTTGAATGAAGAAACAAAAGACGTTGATGAAACTGATGAAGAAGAAAATATTCCATTAACACCTGAAATGGACCGTGCAAATAATATCTATCATCAAGCTATGAAATTAATTAATGTCACTGTCAACCGACAATATGAAGCGTAAGTTTTATTCCGTTGTTCTATTTCGTTCTGTAAATTCAAATATTTTAGCGCCTATAAATTATTCAAAGAAGCAGCTGATATCGGTCATATTGGTGCTAAAGAAGAACTAGCATTTGCTCATCTTATTGGTGTACATTTACCAATGAATTTCAATCAAGCAAAACTATATTTCGATCAAGGCGCTGAACTAGGTTCACCGCCATCACATTTTGTATGTTGCTCCTTGGATTTTTACTAAACCGTATTTTTCTCTCTCGTTAAGGGGTTGTATTTTCTGAACAGTGCCGGACTTATTCCAAATGCAAGTATTCCAAAAGTAAGTAGATTTTTACTCAGATCGCCTCCAGGAAAATACTATTTAATAAAACTTTCTATGCGATTGTTTATTTAGGCTCTTGTTCATTTATCATTTGCTGCTGTTGATGGTTACAATCCAGCTCAAATGGCACTCGTAAATAACGATACTTTAACTAACACATAGAGGATTACACGGATTGTTGTTTTTCTATTTAGGGTTATCGATATTGGCGTACCGTTTCACTTGCGCATAGTTGTGAGTCAGCTTTAATGTTTTATAAACAAGTAGCGACATATGGTAGGAAATTGTTTTTTTGATATTTTGTGTAAATCATAGTATCCTTTCTGTAGTCTCATCGAAGATGACATCAGCAACTGGACAATTGATTCAACGTATTCGTTTGTATGATGAAGAAGAACATCCAACACAAAATAATATTATGGTTGACGAAGATCTTGTACAATATTATCAATTATTAGCCGATCGCGGTGATGCTCAAGCACAGGTAAGAAAATGATTGAATGAAAAATTCTTTATGCTTTTTCTTTTTATTAGTATGGTCTTGGTCAATTGTATTATTTACGTGACACAGCTTTCGATAAAGCACTTTATTATTTTCGTTTAGCTGCTGAAAATGGAAATTCAAATGCAATGGCATATTTAGGAAAATTATATGCAGAAAAAAATGAATATGTTAAACAAAACAATTTCACTGCTCTGCAATTTTTTCAACGTTCAGCCGAAAAAGGTAATCCAATTGGTCAATCTGGCATTGGCATGGCTTTTTATCATGGTGCTGGTGTTGATCAAAGTTACGAAAAAGCGTTCAAATATTTTCAATTGTCTGCCGATCAAGGTTATGTTGAAGGACAACTGATGCTTGGTATCATGTATTATAAAGGCGAAGGCGTAAAACGAGATTATAAAATGGCTATCAAATGCTTTCAAGCAGCATCGCAATCAGGCCACGCACTTGGCTATTATAATCTTGGACAGATGCATGCCACTGGTACAGGTGTACTACGGTCGTGTACAACAGCCACTGAACTTTTTAAAAATGTTGCCGAACGTGGTAAATGGTCAAGCATGTTCATTGAAGCCTACAATCTTTATCGGCAAGGTCATATTGAGCAAGCGTTTATGAAATATTTATATTTGGCCGAACTTGGATATGAAGTTGCACAATCGAATGCAGCATATTTACTTGATCAAATGCCGAATCAATTGACAAATATTTATAGTAGTCAAGAGGAACAATATAGAAGAGCGTTGACTTATTGGAATCGAGCTGCCACACAAGGTTTTCATACGGCACGAGTGAAACTGGGAGATTATTTTTATTAGTAAGTTTTCTAAAACAAAGAAAAAGTTCATTCTTTCACAAAAATCATTTGTTTTTTTTGTCTTTTAGTGGCTATGGTACTGAACAGAATTATGAAGCAGCAGCAATACATTATAAATCTGCAACTGAACAAAGTCAAAATTCACAAGCAATGTTTAATTTAGCTTATATGCACGAAAAAGGCTTAGGATTAAAAAGAGTACGTTGATTCGAAGCAGTTGAAAACCATATCAATCATCTTCAAATTTCCCTTTGTTTTTAGGATATACATTTAGCAAAACGTTTTTATGATATGGCAGCAGAAACAAGTGCTGATGCTTATCTACCTGTTAGTATTGTTCTATTTAAACTTCATTTGGAACTATTGTGGGAAAAATTCAGTGCCCTGTTTTTCTCATCATCAACTGAACCAATTCCGACATCAAGTACGACACCGTCAACAGTAGATGTTGGTGATAATCATTCAACATCAATTGAGTTAGATTCATCATGGGATTTATATTTAATGGCAGCGTTACTTGGTCTTATCGGTGCTCTATATACGATTCGACGTCAGCGAGCTATTTTGCACCAACAGCAGCAGCAGCAACCAGCGCAAGTTCCGGTGCAGTGATAGTAACTGTTTGTGTCTCTCGTTCATTTTCCTTTTCGCTCTGTCTTCTTTTTTTTTAAATTCTTTTTTTGTTATTTATCTTTGGTCGTCTTTTCAAATGCATATCTGTACAGAAAAAGAGAAAGATTTCGCTAAAATTAGACATTCGTTTGTCTGGTCTATTTTGTTGGTCTTGTACACACGGCGGAATTAGAAACAAAAAGAAATAAAATCTTTTGTTGCCATTTTAGATCGATAAATTTAAAGAATAATATTCATACTTTAGATAATGCATCTTCTGTAATATTAATCTAGTCAAATGTTTTTCTTTCAATGGTACAGAATTGATCTAGTCATTAGTCTGTTGTCGTCAATTTTAATTTTTACTAATTCTTTTTCTACTGCATCATCACCTTCGTCGGATACGAAACCTTATTGTTCATTTTTTTCCAATCGAGCACCAAGTCCACAACCTGCACTTACCAATTGTACATGGTTTAAAGAGAACAGTTGCTGTCGTGGTAATGAAGTACGACTTATTTTTTCTCAAGTACGTCCATTAATTGGCTCATCAGCAGAGTGTACACGTTTTCTCAATGTACTTATGTGTTATGTATGTTCACCATTGCAACATGTATTTTATCGTAGTGAACGTTTACATGTATGTTTATCCTATTGCGATCGAATGTATAATGCCTGTGCGACAGCACTCATGAAAGGTATACCTGTTGGAGAATTATATGCAAATGGGCGAGAATTTTGCCTTTCACGGCGTTTCGAAATCAACGATGCATTTAATGCTTCTACTTGTTTTGCTGATCATGATTTAAGAATTCAAACAAAACAAATCAAAATTGGAGATTTTAATAGATCTTCCAGAAATATCGAACGACCCAATGTATTTAAACTATTTGCTGTCGTATGTCTGGCAGCCATGGTTAGTTTTATTTTATGTTAACAGCAATATCAGTCTTCCTATGTGTTCCGTTTCTTTTTGTGATTGTTGTATATAGATTTGTGTCTATTTATTAATAGCTTGTAATGCCCTAGTACAATCAGTGAATGTACAATGAAAAAAATGACAACGATTATTAGCACAATGCGCGTCACGTAAACACAGACCACAATATTTAGCAGTACAATACTTACTTAGCGAGCAATATTCTTTTGTTAAAGAACAGTCATTGTCAGATACGCATGGTTGACGGCATGTATCATAAAAACATTTTTCACCGTCACATTCCAAATCACGTTCACACGAACTGTTCGCAGCATATTTGAGCATACAAATACGTTGTTTATTATTGCAGAAATGTGTAGTTGGACATTGTGCTTGTTTCGTACAGGTTGTGGCGGACATTGTGTCTGTTATATTATGAAGTGCAACTTCTGAAGAGCTAGAACGCGATAATAGTACAAATACGGAAACAAATAATGGGAAATGCATGATTGAAATGATGTTTTGCTTTTTTATTCGAAAAAAAGAACAGTATATATATATGCACCAAGAATGATAGTGTCACAGTCTTTGTTGATGACATCAAGTGAAACAGATGTGCCTTAGAAAGAGGTTTTGAGAAAAAAAAAAATGATTTAGTAAATATTTCATATTAGCTGTTTCTATAGTAATATTTTTTATTTGAAACGATGAATGAATATGATTCGATTGATAAAATCTTTCTCAGCATTAATGACTTCATTATTGACTATGTTAAATTAATCGTTGACACAAATGAAAATTCAAATGAATCGAATAGAAATATGTTAACTATTATATTAAATAAACAAGATTTTCTGTTATCAGCAACTTTCAATGAATTTTCATTAAGAGCACATGAACTACAAAATTATTTGAAAATTTACATAAGAAATCTTGCGCAACAACGACGAAATCATATTGCCAAAGGCATTGAATTCGTTGATAGTCAAATAGAAATACATCAGTTTGATGATGATTTTAAAGATAGTTTAGAACAACTACAAACCGATAGGGCAGATAAGACGATTCGATGCATACGAACGATTATTAATGATTTTGAATTATTTGATAATATTCAAACAAGTAAACATTCTCTTAATATTACATTTCGTCTATTACCTATTTTAAAACATATTCAAAAGCAGGTAGAAAGTAAATTCAATTTCTTTCTACTGTTCATTAGTTTCTGATATTAGTTATGCTGTATTTCATTAAATATTCAGAAAATACTTGATGATAATACACATGTCATCGAAAAACATTTGAGAAGAATCCAACAAAAAATTAATTCTTATGAACTGAATATGAAAACTAAATTAACAAAATTTATTGCAAGTGACATTCGACCTCCCGTACTCGTTATTCCTTGTCCGAACAGCACATAACTACCTGAAGTATTGACTAAAATAAATCATCCAATGTTACCGTCCAACATAAGACTCGAGCGTGTGGTTGTGGGTGTGAGCTGAGCCAAAACTATATATCGATGGATATGTCGAATACATTGAAAAACGATGAGAACTACGTACATAGACTCTCTGATAAGAGGCATGTCAATGAATAAACATTGAAAAACTAAAGAAAACATCATCGCATTTGACTTCATAGATTTAGATGTCGTCCTCATCGCTGTCACGTCATTCGTTTTAGAAGACCATCGATGATACCTAAGTTGTGAGATATTTGCTTTCACTCAAGCTCCATATCGTTGTGGCAAAAAGAGTTTCGAATCTCTTCACATACCTTGTTGACTAATGTTGTAAACTTGTCGAGAACAAATACCTGAATCGTGATTCTCATACATCGATCTCTCATGTGGCCCTGCTTGTTCGCTGATGGCTAGTAATGATGGTGTTCGCAAAGAAAAGACGCTCACCAACATCCATTTTTTGATTTCTGTATATAAATACTTTTGCACCTTGACTTTTTTGCCTCTATTCGATGGCTTTGATTCTATAGAGTTAGAGTATTCTAGTGAACTATTTTGTTAATATGATTTCTTATTTATTGAAGCTTTCTCTTATATTCTTTGCTTCAGAAACAATCGTTTATAAGATCATGAAAAGTATTCGTCTCTATCAAGTACCATCGTCTCATTTCTGTGATAAAATTCGTTGGGCACTGGATTTAAAAGAGATTCCATACGAACGAACCAATTATAATGTTTTTGGAGAAACAAAAGACTGAAAACGAGCATCCAAATCATTACGAAAGCTGTTGTCAATTATCGAAGTTCCGAACAATAAAAATGGCAATTCATTTCAATGTGATTCGACATCGATATTGCTCTATTTGGATGTTCAATATCCTCGATCATCCAATTCGCTTTTTCCATCATCACCATGTGAACTACGTCAGCAAGTTATTGACACACGGTTACGGTTTGATTCGGAATTAGGTCTTTACGTACGTCGAATCGTTTTTGTTCAAATTCTCAATGAACATCCGGAAACAATGTCAATTCTGTTCGGTGAAAAATACTCATGGGCCTATAACTCGAATGATATTCGTTCTCGTTTGATTAGTCCTTTTATTGCTTGTTTTATGATTGCTAGCTTTAGACTTCATCGTATACGCGAGGAACAACTAAAAGAAAAAACACGAAAGATTCTTCTAGACGTTGCTGATCATTTACGAACAAATGATTGTTTAGTTGGTGACCGATTCTCGGCGGCTGATTTAACATTTTGTTCTCTGATCAAACCATTCGAACGAGTACCCCGTTTCATTAATGATTCTCGTTTTCGAATATCATTAACGCATTCGACGAAACTACGATCTAAAATATTTAAATCTAGATAATTTTGAGGAAAAACTGATGGAAAAACATAGGAAACAGAAAACAGAAAATGAAAAACGGCTTACCACCCGTCTATGGACATTCGTTCATCGAATTAATTTTGTTCAAAACTTTTTTATTTGGCTTATGACCATGGTTGTTGAGCACCGTATATCCACCGGTAACTGGCGATGAAGAAATGCCTGAATTTCAGAGATCATCATCATCATCAGTACGGAATAATCGAAAACAAGAAGCACTCAATGATCAAGGAACAATGAAAAACAAGTCGATATGGCCAATGATTAAATTTATCATTAAATATCAGTGCCATCTATTTTTTACTATTCCAAGTCAAGGAGCCTATTTAAACACAAAACTATAGTTTTACTCAGTGCGTACAGCAAAATCTTTAAATTGATGTTTGTACGACTGTAAAGTGGATACACTCTATCTAAACATAGAAATAAAAATATTGAAAACTTTTGTTTTGATTTTAAATTTCAGGCATCTTACTCACATGAACTAGTAGCAATCGTACGTTTACATTGCATCTAAGCGGCTCATGCAGATAGTATTTGGTGTTTCATTCTCGAACAATTAAATTTAAACAACAGAAAAAAGAATCAATCCAATTTGCTGATAGTGCTGTCTTGAAAAATGTATCGTGTAAAAAGAAATACGAAAAAAGATTGTCTTGAACGAATAAGATGCTCATAATTTCAAACTTCTACGAAGGCTATTTTCTTTTTTCAGGTACGATCAGTGCGGAAATTGAGTAAATTCGCCAAATTATAATACAATCTGAAATTCAAAATTTTTCCTATTAAATCAGTCAGTAAAAAACTGAAAAGAAACTAATGGTGGGCAATGAAATTAGTTGTCGATTTAGAAATTAAATGGCAGAAGGCAATTTAAACAACTGTGCTATGTCGATAATATTAATTATTATGACGCGTAACTTAAATCATATAATCTATAGTTTAAACTATTGATACGTTGGTGGAGACATAAATCAAATCGATTGATTGATATTGAGAAAAAAGAAATCATGATGTCACTGTATTCGGTAAATCGATCAGATACGCTAATTGAAAGAAAAATCAAAACACATGATAAGCTAAAGCTTGATAATAAAAATTACTTAATGAACATGTCTCTGTGTCATTAACAACGACGTCTTCGTGCCCTTTTGCCTGTTAATGTTCGGATCGGCTTGTTTGACATTTACAAATCTAGGAGATAAGAACATTGATGAATCTTGATGAATGCAAAAGTGATTTTATCGAAATCTATTTATATCTGTCTAAATTCTCTGAACCTCATTAACATAGGCTCTTCGTTTTCTCTTAGAGGCGATGTAACGAGTGGCACAATTGTAATTAGGCTATTTGCGTTTTTAACATTTCTTCACGTTCTTAAGTTTGATCAGACTGATTTTCCAGGGGGAAAAGGTGGATTTTGTACTCCAGAGATTTTCTTCAGATCCCTGGATTTTCGCAATCCTCATCATACTCAAAATCCCAATTTCTTTTTCTAGATTGCCTATATTTTTGCAGATGTGCATTTTATCTCCAAGCTCTCTCCCTCTTATTTCATGAAGCTGTGACGATATTTATTCTTTTACAAGTAAAAACATTTTTAGTCATTATAATGAAAGTCGTAAAAACTTGCTCCTCGAGATAACTACTGAAATAAGAAACACGAAATAGGTTCTCTACTTCTTTTTGCTGTATCGATGAAAGAGAAATGAAAAGTAAGAACAATGATATCAACTGGCATAATCTTTCGCATCCCCTCAGCGATAAAATTTCTTTCTATGCATAATTATACATTCAGGCATACTTCATAGAAATATTTTTCCTCGTTTCAAAAGAGAATAGCGGAATGTATAACTAAAAACGACCAGTCATCATTATCGGAAAACTTCATCATTAAGTAACAATCACCGAGAATACGTATCCATAAAGTGCTAATGAAATCGCTGATAGTACCGATGGATAAATCGCGATGTACAAGTATCGTCATCTTCGTTCGTGGAGAACAGTAGCCTTTCCACCATACGTCAGCATTAAACATTTCGGTATCTGTGTTATTGAGTGTTGCGGCAATCAGCAACTACATCTAATAGTAAGTTTTCAGTTGTTGTGAGAAACTTGAAGGGGTATATGAACTAGTTCAAGACTTCATTAAAGAAAAGAATGCTCAATCAGTATTGTGTAGTCTTTATTTTAAAACAATAGAATAAAAAACACTTGCAATGCGTTAAAAAAAACTAATAAAAGCTCGATGAGTAATTCATGTAAATAAAAATAGCCGAAAAAACATGAAATTTAATCGCTCATTTAATAATTCGTAAAAACGAAACGATTATAATTGATCTTTTCTGATAGCAATGCGCAAAATTTCAGCTACTTTTGATTGAATGGTTTAAATTAGAATCGCCTTGTTTTCAAGAATTTTTAATCAATTATTATCGAAATCAATCCTAATGATCGATGAAACTTTGATTTTTTTCTGTTATTTTTTTCTAAAATGGATTAACAATCGAGTTTTATCGAATTGTTACTGATTTTGACCCTGGGCAGAAATATATATTTAGCCTTATAATTGATTCGCCGTTGAACTGGAATGAAGCGATGAATATAGAGAATAAGCCTGATTGTTTTACTCTTAGTTTATATATGAAGGGAAAACGAGTAGCTGTCTAATTCGAGTTCGAATATAAATGGAGAAAAGAAAAAGTTAAACTAAAACTAAGCCTAGGAATAATTAGATTTAGTTTTAGTTTAAATTTCCGACATATGTGACATATGAATACATATATACCCTTTATCCGCACCCACATTTGAGCACTCCTCCATGGTATCCATCACCAACAACCGCATTTGAAGTATCCAGAATACCCCTTCTGCACCCCTTCCGGATGCCATTCATCGACACCCCACACCCATCCCCTGATCGTTTTGGGAATTGACTTGTTATAGTTATTGCGGTGGATGAATGAAAGACTGAGAATTCCAGTCTCATTTGCGTACACATTGTCAACGTGATCACTAACGAAATCTTTCGTGCACTTCATCACAAAAAAGAAAAAAAATATTAGCCTCAATTCAGAGCATTTGATCCTTTTCGAAGAATTTCAGTGACGGTAGAACCGATCAAATTTGTTGCAAAAATTCAAAGCAAACAATGACATCAGTGAAGAAATTCTACTGGCGTCGATTTTGTGGCCAGAAAAGAGAAAACGATAACGAAAAACAAGCACAACCACGATTCAACATTGTATTTTTAGCTTTGATCACCAGTAAAGTAACAAAGTCTGATGTGTTCGTCGTATGGATACAAAGCATTACCCTATTTGCAAGCTGTTATTGCGATAGGCGAGTTCGCACTCGGTATCGTGCGAATCGTTGTATATTTTTCACCAAAGCCTGCCGTTTCTCCGACATCTGTATTTGGAGCAGGGATCTCTAATGGCACCGACATATCATCGCCTCTTATGTCCAGCACTCAAGTGATGGCTGCATTTGCACTTGATTGGATCGCATCGATTGTGCCTACATTTATGGCCGTTTACATTACTATAATCATGTTGATTGCGACATGCAGTGTGTGTGTGGCATGCTTGTGCATAACAAAAGCTATTGCGTGTAAAAATTCTGACACAAAGGGGTCTGGTACTCTTTTCAAAGTCCTTTGTCTAATGTGTTTGAGCAAGCCCAATCATCGATGTGTGTCCCTAACCTGCAACTGTCACTGCTACAAAGCACGACCTTTTCTTCGTTTTCAAGTTCGACTTGGCCTTTCAGCGTTTTTTCTTCTTCTTCGAATTGTTGCCATTATCCTGTATGCGTCAGCTAAGAACGTGAGTGTTTACGGTGCACAAATGGCAGTGTATTGCACTGCCTCTGTCGGACTTTTACTGCTTTCGATGGGCCTTGATTTGTATCAGTATCGAATATGGTGGCATTACAAACTGGATGCACTCTACAAGAAGTGCCGTTGCCTTTGTTGTCGACAACAATTACACCCCAGTCATGAACGTTTTCTTCCGATCCCCTTGCTAGGAAAATTTCGCGATGCAAAAAAATTGGGTGACCGGCCGTGCGAATTCACTGTTTCTGGTGGTTGTCCTAATCGGTCACTGGAACACATTGTATCCTTTCATGCATTTGATTTCAAACCCCTTCGGCGCTTTCAACCTGACAAAGATAAGACGTACATTGGTTTCCATTAAACAACAACAGAAGCCGCGATTGGCATATCACAGGAAGGCTTTCGCAAAAGTATGAAACCACCCCAGATGCTCGGTTTCGGTGTTTACTTTGCTCGCTCGTTCGCCGACACAGAGGGAAAAGCTCGAGCCGCAGGTAAAAGTAATCTTCAGTGAAAAAAGTGCTATCATTTTGTTTTTTAGGTGCCTTCATTGTTGCCGAAATCAATATGGGACATGTACGAATGATTGAGCGCGCACAGATCGACGAAGTGAGAAACACGGATTCATGGTGGAAACAATTTGATACGATTTATTTGAAACATGAGGAAGAGAAACGCGATGAATTTTGTATAAAAGATCCGAGTCAAATATTGAAATGGATCATGGTGATGAATGATGGTCGACTGTAGCGTTATGGGCTCGATCAAGAATTTGTTAACACACATTTTGGTTGTATATAAAGTACTAATCAGCATACTTCCACAAAGAAATAACGTTCAATACATACTGCATCTGATCTCACAACCATGTCTACTAGGATTTATTTTTTTGTTTTGTAGATGCTAGGTGATTTTTCGGAATAAAAGACTGCTTTTTGCAAAAAAAAGAGAAATAACTGCGCCTAATTCTCAATTCATTGGGCCTTAGAGTTTCTTACACATGCCGTAACTGCTTGTTGGAAATCTTGAGGGTGTGGGTGGATATGTGAGATATGAAAAACAGCCGCATCAACATCCATTACCTATACCCATACACCCACACCCTGAAGAAGAAAAAGTTCAAAAAAAAACAAGTCGCTCTCGTTGTTGCCAAGGAGATGATGACGGATAGTGTGAATAATCAAATGGAAAATAAGTGAAAGAAAAAGTGTTTTTCCTTTTTTATTATGTTCCATAATATCTACTGCAACTATGAAAAAAAAGAAAATTAAAAGAAAAAAATGAACCTCCGATTCTCTGGCGAAACGCAGTATAATTATCGATGCAAATAATAACAGAGCAAAAAGTTAAGCAATCTACTATGTTTTCTGGCGAAATACGTCATAAAATCGAGCGTAACTGAATGATGAAAAATGAAAATAAAATTCCATCGATCTATTCGGGCTGGTTGCGTGGCGCCGCACAACGATCAGAATGAATAATTGAAGATAACAAAGAAAATAATAATATGATGACTGAAGCCCTCCAATAAAGATGTTGCAATTGTCATGAGAAATGCATAAGAGAGAAAATGAGAATAATCTAGCGTCATGTGTGTGATGTTATGGGTGCCGATGCCCATGTGAAAACCTCAAGATCGCAAAAGACAGTATACGGCAAAATATGCCGAAAACTGACAATTATAAGCGACGGATGCGTACTATAGGTGTATATTGTCGTATTTCATCGTAAACTATCATTTACGACAGTCTTGCACGATTATTTATCACAGTATACGGCGAAAAAACGATCCTAATTCAAACGTAAACTATTTTGAAGTATAAATAAAAAAATCTGATCTTCGTAACGCTCATCCTGGGTGTTGATGTACTTTTTATTTGTGAATCTAAGTGAGAGTAGGAGCCGGTATGAAATGTCAGTGTTAGAGTCGCCACCGATCTTCGTTTCATCGATCACACCCACAAGAACACTGACACATACCCATGTTGGCGTCCGCACTCGCATTTACATGTATCTTCTTTAATAATGTTCAAACATTGTGGTTGAATATTGCAGTATCGGTGGACAACGAGTTGTTTTTGTTAAGTCTCATTATGATATCATGAGTAAAAATTCCATTCACAATTTTATCTGATCGTTTGTTCATACAAAAGTTACACATGTGTAACTGGTTCTCCTTGAAAACAGCTTTTAATCTTTAATTTTTGTTTTCCTGGAATATCGAGAAAAATTGTTTCTAACAGATGTGTTTTGTTCTCTCAACAACTCAATTTATTTTAATATTTGTTCTCTGTAACTTTATGATTGTTTTAGACTATCCTTGTCGTTCCCTCATATTGATTGCATCTTGTCCTAAGCAGTTATTGTAAAAGAAAAAGAAAAATTTAATTTACTCATCATACATTCCACCGTCAACGTCGATAATTTTAGTAATGATTATTACTTCTTTCAAAAAATATAAATATCGAATATCCTCAGTAGAACAATGAAGAAAAATCAAATAATGATGAATATCGACTTATGCTCAAAATATAGCTACGAAGTTTAGTGATGGCTTTGGTTTGATCAATAATTGAGTATATTTCATATGAATTTATATATGAAATTTGTGGGTTTTTTCTCGAATGATGTTTCCTGTTATTGACTTTGACTGTTACTTTGTAGTATCACGTCGTTGACAACAGTCCGCAATCGTGTTAAAGTATTTAGACAATCTTCGTCTTCTTGATCAGCATGAGGATCTGCCCAGATAAGTAGATAATTTTGAATGTGACTTTGTTTTGGTTGATGTTTATTTGCTGATGCTAATGACGTTGCAAATACGCGTAGTTTTTTGGTGAAAATTTGTTGTCCGGATTTGTTCCTATCCATATGGAATATGAATTCTCACTTGATCGATGATTTGAAATGATGAATGATGGTATATTCTCAACAACAGAAAAAAGATATCGGTTTAAGTTTGAAAGTAAGCTCTTTTTATTTTTAAAACAAACCTATCTTAGAATTTTATGATACATCTTTAACAAACAAACTTTCGCTGAAAAATAGATAATTGAAGAAACAATAATGAAAGCAGTAAATTTATCATTTTTCTGTTATTGTTTGTGACATCACAATCATTAAAGAATTGTATCGGAAAAATAGATTCGCATAAATCGAATGCTTAGCTCAGATACAGCAAGACAAAGAATATTTAAGAATAGCAGATAGTCCCGAAAATCTTCCTCTACAAATTGACCTTGTGGTTCTTATGTATATATGATTATAGTCATATATCAAAAGGTTAAAAGAGAAAAAGTAATACAATACACGTGGATTCGTTATTACACCTCTCCAGTTTGTTTATTTTCTATTCGTTATCTTATTTTTCGTAAGAGACGGGAAAATTTTTATTGAAAGTCACATAATAAGATGAATGTCACGAAAAACGTAGAGCATAATTAAAAAATATGAGCTGATGGGCTCAATTCCGCCTGTACAAAGTGATTTTTCTATGATTTTCTTTGTGACTCTTATTATGCTTTAGTTTCCAAAAAATATTCTGCAAGGATAAGTTTGTCGATCGATGAAACTAATCCTATCGTGCCGCTCTTTGACTGATGCTCAATCAAAACATTCTTAAAATGACCTCAAAATAATTAACATGTCCATTTCTGATGCGTATTTTGAGGGTGAGATGGAGCTAGAATTTTTGACTTTTCTTTAAGTTCTAATAGATACGAGAAATGCTATTTGGTAGTGTTAAAATTGAACGAACATAATGATTTTAATGCTGGTTTTTCACCTCATGTATTTACCCTATACGTGCTGTAAAATAGCTAATATATGCAGTTCAATGTTTTCTCACAACCGTGAGTAGAGCTTTATTAGAATGAGCTGTGGGCAAAACTTCTATTGTATTTTTATTTGTCCGTTCGCTGCCCAAATTAAGAGTTTCAATGCAAAAGCAATCATCGTCAGTAAAAAACATGCTTTAAATAATGTGAAAATGAAGTTTATAAGAAGAGTCTCATCTCTTGGTTCATTGACTAAACAGATGAGGTGTGTCAAGAGTACCAGACGGTTTCCAAAGAGCCAGATAAGTGACAAACAAATAGAATCCTACATAAGCAAATCCGGCAAACATTAAAAGGACACTAAAGGCCAATTGTGCTTGCATTGCTCTGTATTTTGCCACGAAACTACTACCCAGATTGTTATATTCTATTTAAGCGCTTGAAATAATGGCACTGCTGGATGAAACGAACTGATTGGCAATGCCAATCAGAATAAAGGTGAACAGAAGCAAAACCACCTGAGCAATAAGGACTCGTGTAGCCCAAACTCTAGAACGATCCCATCTAGTTACTAAAATAAATTATTTAGCTTACTAAAAGTCCAATTGAAATTATATTAAATGGCCCTCTTCTTTACGGAAAACTTACCTTGTCGGATTGTTAGAATAGCCGCTGTCATGAATGGTATACCACACCGCATACCAGCACCTGTTGCGTTATATGTCGTGAGACCCAACGATATAATTTCAAGAATAATGATGAGCAGTGTCAAAACCAGTTCAATGATCCCATGAATAAGCACAGGCGTACGCCAAAATTTGGATCACCAGCTTCTTTCATAATCTGAGAGAGTATTGATGGTCGGACTCTAAAAGTATATTTTTTACAAAATCTATGAATGTTATCCTTCGTGTAAACATTCTCATCGGTGAACTAGTTGTCATATTTCTCTGCTCGTCAGATGAATCATTCCGTATGAAATATTTTGACATATCGCTCATGCAAATAGCTTTGTAGAACATTTGCGGAACTCTATTCTTTTTTCCACACACGCAAAGAGTTTGGTAGGAAAAAAGAAAGTGATTTTTTGAAACTTCAAACAATTTTACAAAGTTTGGCACCAACATTTCTATTTTTCAGAGACATGACAGTCGTATTAAAGGTAGATTTAACATGTACTTTTTACAAAGACAAAGCTTTGAAATGTAATTATGTTTTAGTTGCCGTTCAAATATGTTTTTCTATCAGTCGTGGGCAACGCTGTTTGCAACTAAGACGTTTTGCTTGTGAAGTTGATTCTAGGAAAATTTTCTTCTGCCTAAATCTATACATGCGCCGTGGTCCTAGCTTAGAGAAATTATTCCAGAATTCAATGGTGCCATATAATTTATAAAATAATCTGACCAAATAATAAAAACAATTTCGTGTTACAGGATGTATCTTTGATAATAATAAATCGATTTACGATGTACAGAAAAGTACACTTGAAAAGTGATATAATGAAAGAAACGACATTATATGTATAGTCTCTATACCAAGAATGCTTTTTAGTTCTAGTCTTGTACATTTTTAGTTCAGAATATGAGAATTTCTAAAGTAATTTTACTTACCCATGCTTCCATTGGGATTGGCGCTATTTGTGAAACACCGTCTGGGTTCAGTGAGTAACTTCAAGTAGAAGTCGTATGTGCGAGTGACGCGCCCACCATACTACTGTCAACGAACACTGGAGTTTGACTTGAGCGAATACCAGGTGGAACAGGAACATAAGTTTTGCATGATGGGCACTGAACACATGATGTGATATGAACTAAAATCAGCAATATCTCGATCTACTTTGAGTTTTCAAATTGTGAAATGTGAGTGAAAAGTTAAGTAAAAATCGCCTGCAATATTTTTTCTTTATTATTGATTATGCATTTGGGACATTGTAAAAGAGATCTATTTGCAGAAATGAGTCGAATTCAAAGTGTCTATTGACGTTCGTTCCTAACATTCGACTGATATCTGAACTTATTAAGAAGATTTAGATGAATCTAGTTCACCCTACCTGTGCTAAAAATAATACTCTACGTATCTCTGTTTCATCAGAAAGTCATTTGATGACATTGAATGCATGATAGCTATCACCTGCTTTGTCAGTATCTCAAAATTAAATTATTTGTTTTCCACAATACAGAAGTAACAAGATTTACGGTGCCTTTTTGCTTTGATATATTATAAATTCACTACTATAGAACTCTGTCTAGATCAAGTTAAAGAGAAAAGCTCTGCTTTATTACTATCTGTCAATGCTGTAAAGACATCGATTTGTTGTATCTTACCAGTAGCCATGTGATGTGAGATAGAAAGAAGATTCGAATATCGTCGCGAAGAAGTTAATCTAGAACAGAACGCATATTTTTCTCATGGTACTCTGATCATCTTTCTAGCTTTATTATCTTGCACTCTTCAACAAAAATGTTGCAATTTCAATTCTATCAATGGATGGTAATCATTCTTTCTGAGAAATTATAAAATAATGTATATCTCAATTTGCCATAAAAGCAAGAGTCAGACAAGTGCGACTTTATTTAATACGCTTTCTTTAATTTTCTAAAAATATCTAATCATCAAATTCTCAGAATTCTGTTGCTTCCTGGAAATTCCCAACAAACTCACAGCATCTACTCACTACATCAATTAGGTTAGTGTTGAGTGATAAGAGGTCTCGCAGAAAAAAGGAAACAGCAGAGCTGTCTATAGCGAGTAATTGAAATAGAACGAGTGAATATGTTATTATAAACTATAATTAATGCCAAGAAATTTTTTCAAATGCATATTACTATTGAAAATGAATCTACTAATGCTTGATAGTGTAACTCAAAGGATGTTAGTGAGAAAAAAAATCTCATTTTCTGATGGCTTCTTTCTCGGAAAAATAGTTTCATTTCTCTTTTTATTTTGCTCATAGATACTTGTATTTCAAGGAAAATGTAAGTTTAAATGAATTCTCTATGAAACAAGACTCAATTAAAAATTGACCAGCCACAGTATTGACTATTTATGATAGTTATAGAAAAATCTTATTCCTCTGTACAGAAACCCTCTAGAAACAAAGAATATGGACATCATGTTCATACTAAAATAAAATGTGTCGCATTTGTTATACTCGTTGATACCACGTGAGACACATTAAACTATGGGTGTGGGTGTGTGGGTGTGTGGATTTGACTGTATTTTTAACTCGACCACACCCACACTCACACCCTATGGAGTACACTCTTCATCTTGCAGAATATTTTTAAGAGCCGAATAATCAAGTGTATTCTTTTGCTTTAGAATTTTTATTCAAAGAAGACAGGATGATTGGTGTTCCGGAATATGAACAACGAGAACTTTGGCGGCAGAAGTTTCCAACTGGAATTGCTATTCTTTTGTCTATCTTTCAAATGATGCTCACATTGAGCGTTGTTGGTTGTGAAATTGTAGGTGAGTTTTTTGAATTTCCAATGATGAATGCTTTCGTCGGATTTTGGGCATTCCCATTTTTTACGTGCGCATGGATATCGCTTTCAGGAGCAGGTATGCATTTATATTTATTACGGAAAAATTAATTTCTTAGTTTTTGTTGACGATTTCTTCTAGGATGCTGTTGTCGAACTCGTTGTTGCGGAATAGCAGCTCTAGTTTTTCAGTGTTTAGCAATTCCTATAGCCTTGTGCGTAGTCGGCTTGGATTTTTATTTCTTAAATAACCCAACTCAATGCTTTTTCTCATCTGATTGCTCGGCGTACTTTGGCTATTTTATGACCAATTATAATTACCTAACAGATATTTCAAATTTGCATGCAATCAAAGTTGCGCTAGTCAGAGGTCAATTGGCTGCTGGTGCTTTAATGTTTGTTTCGTGTGTGATCTTCATCGTTCTGTATGCTGTGACGAGTCATCGAGTACAAAGACGTATCCATGTACAACATGGTCCACCTGCACCAGCCATGGTTATTACTGCATCAAATCAGTATCCATCTACAATTATAAATCCAACCTATGAACATCCTCTAAATGATGTTCCTGTGATTCAGTATCCCAACAATCCAACTGCTCTAATGAACACAATCATCTGTCCTAATTGCCAAACACAATTTCAAGTATCTGTTTAGCACCAATAATTCCATGAACCATATCCATACGAAACTTTAATTTTTCTTTTATATTTTCACACTCGCATCAACATGATTTGCTTTAATAAATCAAATGATTCAGACAATGTATAACTTTCAGTTTAAGCGCTTTAGATTTTCAAAATTTGTATGAAGCTAGCTTCTTTTTTTTGAAGATTTCTCAGATTTTATGAGAATCTTCGACTGTTTCAGTAACCCATCGCCTCCTAGTTTATTTTTTTCGTACATTCTGTCATCCGTATTGTTAATGCGGTCCTATTGGAATAGGAAAATCTTGAACAGAAAATATTTTCACTCATGGTAAGTTGCCGACTTTCGAATGCATCAAGATGTGCCCTTTTGCATATTGGTCAAATACTGATTGTAAAACAATCGAAGCATTTGCTTTGAAAGTCAATAAACCTATTTTGCTATTGTCTTCTATAATATATCGTGAGAACAGATGCAGGAAATGACAAANGATATATATAATACATTATTTGATTCTATCTAAAATATCAACTATTAGAAGAATCATTATTCGTTTTAATCTTAATAATTATATGAAACTAACATTGCCGAATTAACTAAACATCGCAGGGGGTATCCGCGATACTTCAAATGCGAGTGTGGGCGATGGATACCGTAGAGGCGTGCTCAAATATGGGTGCGGATGAAGAGCGTATACGTATTCATATGTCGGAAAGTTAAACTAAAACTCAATCTATTCCTAGATTTAGTTTTAGTTTAACTTTTTTTTCTCCATTTATATTCGAACTCGAATTAGACAGCTACTCTTTTTAGGCTATTAAGAACATATATCCGAAATAAATTATTCACATTATATCTAAAATAAAATCTTCGACACTTTTGTATTGATCAACTTTCCTCAGTTCTAATTTGATTGATGGTATAGATAAAACCATTTTTGAACGTCATAGAAGATATCAGTGCAATCTTTTAGTTTCGGTTCAAATTTTTTTCTCTTGTACTCACATTTGACTGACAGATTCACCAAATAAGAAAATCATATCATTTAACTCAAATAGAAATGATCCTTATTATATTTGATAGAATGTGTAATTTCATACATATTCATAAATGAATCTTCAAAGAATAGATGAATCTCTAAATCAAATCATTTTCTTACACTGCCATTGAATATTTACTTTTAGTTTTGATGATCATATAAAGGAAGGCAAAATTTTCTTTTTCTTTCTTACTTGCATTAGTTTTGACCAATGATTTTTAGTTTCTTTTAATAGCTTCTGAATTTAATCTAATCATTGATTATATTCATATCTGTTTGCTTTGTATCTTATGGCATTTGATATTTCTTTCTGGCAAGTCACTACTGTTTTTCATCAACAACGCTTATGATAAAAGCACAGTTAACGTACAGCAGAAACCAATTAAATTTTGTTTTGACTGTTTTTACTAGCGTAGTTCATTTATTTATTTTCATATTATATATAGAAAAACACTATCAATCGGAATTTATGCTATAGTGCACTTATCTTGAACAAGAATTCAATATTAGACAATCAAAGGTATTGTAGAAAAAGAGCAACCCTATTTATTTTCTACAATCTATTGTGTGTGCACACAAGGGAGCCTTTTCACGGATGTCTCCATCTGGCTTTCAATTGTTTTTCTTTTGTCTATAAATACTATCTAATGTTCTTATAAAAAAAAAATCTCAACGAATTATATTGGGTTCCTGTGTCTCCGCTATTTTATCTTGAATTTTGCGGATGTAAAGACCACAACTAGAATCATGTTCGGCAATGATTTCAGCAATTTTGTATGAAAATCTCTTCGACACATGCGAATATTTTCATTGAAAATTTCAATACAAACGAAATTTTATTCAATATTTTTATTAGAATATTCTATCCTATCTATAGACAAAAAGAAACAAATGCAAATCGAAATGAGACATCTAAAGAAGTTCTTTCATGAGTAAAATTTCTTTTTCATTCGTATTTTCTAGTATTAATACTGACATACATATCAAACGATATTCAAGTAATTAACACATTGTAATGTCAATAGGACTTTATCTGCTCAAGATAAGATAAAGACAGCTTCTTCTTTTTCTATTAATGAAATATTAAAAAATAGCAAATTTGATTTTTCTTTGATGTTTTGCGATTGTATATATATATATATATATATATGTGGTATATATCTATTATAGATAATATCAATTTTCTATTATATATCTTGTGGGTTTTCCTTTAGTATTATTATTTGTTGATCTATTAACACGTAAGTACTCCGCATTATAATCTACTACGTATATATTCAGTAAGATCACTCTTCTATTCGATGTAAAAACTGATTACTAAAAGTAGGCACATTTTCTTTTGTTGTCAACATAAATACGGCAAATGTTTACTTTATTCTAAAACATAAAATCTATTTTTACATATCGTTTTATACAAAATATCGATGGCCTTAAAAATAGATCTGTAAGTTTTTCTTCTTGGGTCGGCTATCGCTATGATCGTTAAGCATTATTTTTCTTTTTTCTCCATCTTGTGAATGTAATTTCTTGTTTCAGGAGCATCGATCATAAAATGCTGTTTATCTCATACTTCCTTGCTATAGATAATACGTTAAGAGATAAATAAAGTATGCGAGTAAAAAAGAACCACTAAAGAAGAAAATTTAATTAGCATCCGTTTTCCGAAAAGAAAATCTTTCCTTTCTTTATTGATTAATACAAATGATTTTTATCTGTTTCGTGGTACGTCATCAGATCTCGTTATAGACGAACCGTTCTGCAGTCAAAGTTTTTGACATTTATAGCGAAAAATAAGAAAAAAATATCGAGTGTTGATACTCTCGTCGCTTTATGTCAGAAACTATGCATAAGTTTCTGTTGTTTGTCTTTGTTGCATTTCGAACTAAAAACAAATAGTACAAGAAGAAAACTATAAACACAAAACATATATTGTTACTTCTTTACAATCGAATATAGAACGAGCATAGGAAAACTGACGTTGTTGTCGTAGTATTTTGTGTGCTTGTTGACATGAGCTGATGATCACATTCGAAAGATAGATATTTCAGACAGGCAACGAGGAGAGAACGGAAGAAAGCGATTAGATGAAGACGGAAAAAAAACTGAGAAAAGAAGAGAGCATTTGCTAGTGCCACTCCGATTAATCTGACAATAATACAGTAATATCTAGAGAGATGATCATGTCTCGTTTGACATCATCTTTCAAAGCGAGAGAGAGCATGTGTCTGTGTTGTTACTGATAGTTATACATTTATACATCTCGGTGCGTTAGACTATTCTGTTTTGGCCTATTCAAATATATTATCGTATAAATATAAGACAACAAAAAACAAAAAGAGACATGTTTATTCATCTATGTACAAAGACACAAGCCAAAACATTATCTCCATCTTTTAACATAAAACAGTCGGTAGGACAATTATAGACAATCAGCAATAAACATAGTAATACAATCTTAGTAACTAGTGTTATCATGTTGAAAAGATATTTATGTCTTACTACTAAGTAAAATAGACTCTTCTCGTCATGTCACCTTCGATTAGACGAATATATATATAAGCGAATTTCAATTATACGAAGCATGATGACATATTAATACACAGGAAATCATCATCACTCATCTTCATTGATATGATCTTGCAAATAAGTAAATATGCACACTATACAAAATACTTTAAAGTTTTTTTTCCTCTTTCTTCTTTATTGATTTTGTTGGTTTGTTTTGGTTCTAGATAGAGCATTTTATATTAGTCGAGTTGCCGATTGACAAACGTCAAACAAACATTAAAAAACAACACAAACCCTTGAACAGTAATGTTCTTATTCAAACCATCATGTCCATGACTAATTACATGAATTTCACTGAAACATTAACAACCATGCTTCAAAATGAATCAACATCAGCATCAACATCAATCAATGAATCATCATCCTTGGATGATCTTTGCAAAAATTTTCATGTTTGTACATTCTGCTTATAATTTATTGCGTCTAGATATAATATTTTCTATATTTTAGCTAATCGTTTTTCTATGTATTATATTTGTATTAATCGTTTCGGCTAATATATCTGTTATTCTTCAATTAACTTGTTCGAAAAAACGTCGTAGTCGAATGAGTTTTTTCCTATTAAATCTTGCTTATGCGGGTAAGTTTAAGTGTTCTGATGATGATGATGATGATGATGATTATTATTATTATTATTACAAACAATAATATTAGTTCTGGAGATAGTTCGTCTGTACGTACGTATCCGAACGATATTTTTTCGATTAGTAGCACTTGACTTATTCAATCATGAGATTACAGTAGGATACTGCTATACTACGCATAAATCTATCGAATATAAAATTACGGAAAATGTTACGATGAAAAACGAGTGCAACCAATAAACTGTTCTATTTTCTTAGAGATACTACTTATAATGCATCAGAGCTAATTGCATTTTAACGATTATTCAGATGAGTGCGTCGTTAACATACGTGACGGCTAGCGCGCATGTACTTCGTTCATAGGGAGAAAAACTCGATCGATGCCAGCAGTAAGAGTTATTGAAGAGAAAACAAACAAACAAACAAACAAACAAACATTCAATGAAGATTTTTCGTTTTTCATGAAACAAAAAAACTGATTTTTCTTTCTTTATTTAGATTTATTTGTTGGCATTATTATTGTCACTCGTGATATTATTGAAAAAAGTTGTATACCATTTATGCTTGGAACTATTGGATGTCGATTGATTAGTTTTATACAAGTTCGTATTTATCCTTCACATTTATAAGGACAATAAGTTAATATGATTCATTCGATTAAGAAGATTTGTTTTTCTTATCAAACGGTTTGATAATATGAAAATCTCTTGATTTTATTCGGAAAAATGTCGATAAATTTTTTTCCGGATAAAACCGTAGTCAACGATGATATTTAGGCAATTATACGAATCTAAGACTAAAAATGGTAATAGCTAGAAGAAGAAGAAGAAGAAAAAAAAGAAACAAATAGATTTACATATCGTTAGAACGAGAAAATCAATCCTTTTATCTCTAAGAACGTGCGCTAATTTGTTTTTCTTCTTATTATTAATAGGGTACAATTTCATATAATTCAAGGTACGAATTTAGAATTATGAAATACATAAATATCTACGAATTCTATTTCTATTTAGTTATGTACTTGTTTGTGTGTCAATCGATCGTCTCTATGCAATTGTTCGACCTATGGATATACGAACAGCATCGTCAGGTATATATTTATAATGATCATTGAATTTTATTGATCTTCGTTTTTTAGCATTTCGATATTCGTTGATTATCGGTAAGTTGAAAAAAGAAACTATGCGTTTAATAATTAATAAATATATTCCATTATTAAAAAAAAAGCATCGTGGGTTATTTCAATGACATTTGCTTCTGCTCAATTATATTTGCGAGACACTGAAAATATAAGCGGAATGCCCATATGTGGCAATCGACAAGATGTTCAAAATTGGAATGTGAGTCGTTTTTTCTTCTTCGCAATAATGAATTGAATTTATTTTTAGGCATATGTATATTTTCTTTTTCTTTCTCTGTATCTTGTTCCATTGATTGTTATGACTGTTTCGTACATTATTATCATTGTAATAATATGGCAAAAAGGTTCACTTAAAATAAAAGATGAATCCCCACATGAACAACGTGAAAAATCGAAAATTCGTCGACTTATTACACCAAAAACATTGAATGCCAATGGTAAAGTTTTATTTTTTTGCTTTTAACAAGAAAAATAATAATAACTTAGGTGATCATCAAATTGAAACAAATATTCGTAATGTACGATCGTTGGGCGTGATACCAAGAGCAAAAATAAAAACTGTTAAAATGACATTAGTCATTGTTATTGGTAAGTTTACCAATAGAGTGCAACATCTACTATTTTTTGCCATACAAATTAAAGACATTTTTGAGCTTTTGTAAATCTTGCGCTACATTTCGATAGTGGTTTAGTATATAAAATTATGAAAATAACCAATCAATGAAGGAAACCAAGTTAATAAGATGACACTGAATGCCACAAACAAATTGTTTTTTCTTCTTCTTTTGTTATATTATTAGCTTTTACTGCTTGTTGGTCACCCTACTTTCTTCTAATGATCATGAATTCGCTCAATTTAATCCAAAATTATCTTCTCATTCGTGTTACATCATCTTTATGCTATATGAATTCCTTAGCTAATCCGCTTATTTATTGGCTTTTTGTTACGAATTTTTGTCTTCGATGCAGGTATGTTTCCTACTTATTCCTGCGATGATTCTATTCATCATAATTAATAGATAGAATCTTATATTGATAAAAATGATAATTTTTTTTCAGTGACAAACGAACAACAACCATGTCTATTACCTAGTATCATATAAGGCAAAAAAATAACAAACAGTTTTTCGATATGATTGTTTTTCATGCATGTTGCTTTTTCCTAAAGAATGGTAATGATTTTGATCACATAAACAAGCTAAACCAGAAGAAAAAATAAAATAAAAAAAGACTCGAATGACTGGATCGTATTTTTGCATGATGAACATAATTGTAAATGAGTGCGAGTGCTATGCATGTCTTCGTGACATTTCTCTATTCAATTAAAAGATATATTAACTATATAAGATTTTGAATAGTGAAATGCTTGGTGACCGTTCAATTCGTCGCATGATCAATTCGTCGCACGACAATTCGTTGCGATCAGGTCGCCGCATATATAGGAGAAGATACATTAATTGAATTAAGATATTTAGTGTAGAATGTTATTTAATTAATCACTCTAACAAATGTTTTTCTTCAGAGAAGAATGGCTCGTTCTTGATAATACTTTCTTTTTTAATAATAGAGATCTGAATTTATAGGTTTTTTAAAATAAAATAAACTTGAATTTAAATGACAAAAACTCAATGGAATTGAATTAAAAATGAATTAAATTTTTTCTAGTATGAAAATTAAAGTTATATAGAAATAATGTTTTTTAAACAATAACTCGTAATGATGAAAATTAGTTATCGTTATTTGGAAAAAATATGACTTAAGCAGTAACACATAAGAAAAATAAGAAAATCTAGTATTTGAGTCACACATGTGTTGATAAAAATCAAAATTCTTCAACAAATCATACACGATTCCAGAAATAATCGACAACATTTATTTCTTAACACAATTTGTAGACGAAAAACTACTTCTATTTGTAGAAAATGTAAAAAAAATAATGTGAAATGCTCTCAATGAAGTCTACACCAACCTTGATCATCTTTTCTTAAAATTCTTTCCAATTTAAATTTCAACAATTTTAACTTTAATTTTTAACTTTCAATTCTAATTCTTATGAGGGTTTAAAAATTTATTCCTCCATCCAATAATTCTTTTAAATTTCAATCTTCGGAGCATAAATGTGAAGCCTATTTTGAAAATGTTTCAACCACTTTATCCACTAACCGAACATCTTTACGTATCACAGAAAACCGGCCCAGACAGTACTGAACGAATTATATACTTAAAAAAAAGTGAAATTTGTTTTCGTTGATTTCTTTTTTTAGGTGAAGGTTTCATCAGAATTTATCTCCTTAAAGGACTGGAATCCTATTTATCATCAGACTATTTGTATTTTAAGAAAAAATTCTTTAAGAAATCTTTTCAGAAGTAAATTATTGCTGTTTTCGAAGCTCATCTTATATTCCTCGTATATATCTAATAATTCAATAGCAGCGTATACAATTTACATGATTAATTAAGTAACATTCTACACTAAATATCTTAATTCAATTAATGTATCCTCTCCTATATACGCAACGAACCGGTCGCAACGAATTGTCGCGCGACGAATTGTCTTGCGACGAATTGTACTGGTGCCGAAATGTTTATACATTTATTCTATTTGATTTTGTCATTTCTTATTATATTAAAGAAAGAAAAAAAGAAAAACAATGCTTGCTTTTTGTATTTAGAGAGAATTATGATTGTAATAAACTACTAAGAACAAAATTAACAGCAAACAGCGAAAATATAGCGATATGTTCTTTATCAGAAGCTCGATACAGTATTGGTAGCGCACGACAACAACGTCGACGTTCAAGTGATTATCATCGTGCACATCATCCACGTACACCAACAATGTCGGTACATGTACCTCGTCCATCCTATTATCGAACACCGCCATCACCCTATGTTCGAGCAAGTAAACGAATGGTTCAACATCAAAATTCACAAGCACCACTTCTCTATGGTTATCAATGTCCTCATTGAAAAGGAACAATTGATTCGTTTTTCTTTTTTTACAATTCTCTCACGCTCTCTTTTTTCTTCTTCTAATTTGCCTTTATTCTGTGTCATTTCATACATATAAAAAACAAAACAAAAAATGATAATGTCTATATGTTATCTTAGTTGATCGCTGATCTGGCACGTGTGTCTGTCAATTGGGATTGCACTGATAATTGTAAATAGTAATGATAGGAAAAAGAAATGAAGCATTGCCCATATTTCATCATTCTCCAGAATGTCGAAACCAACAATGTGACTGATTTTTACAAGAGATATAATCGTCTACTGTTAGATTCTTGTAAGCCAGTCCATCGTCTTCATATGTGTAAACAATGTTATCAGTGAACTAGTTTTGTTTGAGTTAATCTAGCATAAACGTTGCTATTTTCTATCTTGACAAACCATAGTACCCACTCCACTCGTTGACGATAAAATAATAATTGATCTTTCATGTGCTTCATAAACTAGAGACTTCAGCTAAGTCTTTTCCTATGTCTCATCTGATATATTGCTTTGGCATTCCGAGTAATTAGTCTCTCTCTCTCTCTCTGTCATTTATTTTACCGATAGACAAAAGAGATCGCTTGGATCCTATAGGCCTATTAGTAATCTCTTATTACTCCTGTTTATTTGTATTTCCATATCTATGCGACTAGAGATATTGTGAACCTTGCAGCGATAATTATCTCTTTTATTTCCTTCCTTCTAGAGTTCTGTTGATCTCAACAATAATAAGATGAAAATATATGAATCTATAGGTTATTTCTAGTCAGGATTTTAATCATATCAGGAGATGTCGAAAACTGAAGAAACTTTACGCAATTGTGGTCGTTGGATATGTCATTCGTTTGATATATTAAAAGCAATTATAATACGAATCATATTTGCACTTCATGCGACAATTGCAATCATGCGTATTGTTATTGCGAAAGGTGATTATTGGTATCTACTGAATATGTGCGGAGTGAATTTTCTTCTTATTGAACTTGTTATAACTGTTGTTACACGAAAAGGTTTGTCGATTGAAGTAAAATAAAAAATCGTTCAAGTGAAATAGTTTGTTTTGCTTTTTTTAGGAAAAGAGCCTAAATGGTAAATAATCAATTTGAAAACATCGATAGATAAATAATTGAATAATTCTAGGTTTTCTCCATGCTTTTTTCTCTATATATGTACAATGATACCGCCAATATGGTTTCTTGAAATTCATCGAATCAATGTTAAACTTGGCGTTGACTTAATCAATCAGACCGAAGTTGAGGAATTACAAAAAATTATTGGAAGAGATTTTGTATCGGGAACCAGTCTCATCAACAAAAAGGTTTGCTTTGTTTCATTAAAAGTTATTTATCCATGGAACAAAAAAATTAATTTTTATATTAAACTAAAATAAAACCTATATTCTATAGGATTTAGTTCTGAAAAAGGTGAGGTGATCAAAATAATCATTGCATGATGCATCATGATATTCATATATGCATATATATCTATATAAGTTATATATTATTTAATAAAGTATCACTATAACAGAAAATATTGGCCAAATAAGATCATCTGATTATACAAGTGCTATAGTTATACATTGCGAAAAATAATTTGAGCTCTTAGTTTTTCGCTTTTTTTGAACAGATCATACGATAAGATAATAGTTCTAATAAATTCGATGAATGGAGGTGATTTTGAACAGATAAATTCATTATTATCATTTCACAGTCTTCTTAACCTAATGCTTGACATATATATCTTGATCTTCTTTGTTTTCTGCTATTATTGTCAAGGTCTCACGCGCTTAAATGCGTGTGAAATGTTATTTTCACCCTACTATCTGCTCGCTATTTTTTCTTCCGTCACTTGAGTATTACAGTACATCGCCTTCTTTTCTACTACAAAAGAAAAACTGAACGAGAAATATTGCTATTTATGAACGTTTGCTTTTGTTATTGAAAAATTCAGGAATCTGGAGAAGAAAAGATGATTTTATGTTTACATGTTAATCAATCTATTTATCGTCTCGGATATCTTAGCAGTTAATTGTCTATGCTCGTATGAAACTTACGAAATGACATGGATTATTTGTTGTTGATGTAAAGGTTATGTTTTGTGACGAGCAGATGATTAATTGCGTACCAATACAACTAAGAATACCTCAATGAAAAAAAGAAGAAGTCTTTCGATTGACAAGACTTTTTCTAGAGAACATCATATGACCTAGATATTTTTAGTCTATCAAAATAAAATAAAAGCAATTTGATTTAAAAGAAAGGGTTGGCGGGGGGGGGGGCGCAGACACTTCGAGCAGCTCTGAAAAATCCAAATGTCTGAAGCCCGTTGAACAATCTGTTGCATGTGCATGAAAAAAAACAAAAATATTCGGTTCTTGGCATGTTTTAGAGACTAATGATGCTCACTATTGAAGATTGGGTTGTGGCTATTGAAGTAACATTTTTAATGATTATTATTGTTGGTCGTTGGTTATTACCAAAAGGAAAAATTAGTCGTTCTGCTCTCTCTCAACTTTTACTTGTTTATCTATCGTTAGCATCGGATATGATCGATTTATTATCAATATTTCAAGAATATGAAGTTATAAAAAATAGTAAAATGATCTATTCAACATTGTCGGTTTTTTCTTGGTCAACATTTCAATTTAGTCTAAGTCTTGTTGCATCACGCGGTCGAACATTCCGCGTAGAACCAGACCACCGCTGTCAAAATATTCAACAGCAATCTCGACGTTCAAATCCACAACGCATTAAAACTACCTATCAAAAATTAGCCAGCAGTGAACTACCATCTATATTTATTACAATATTAATGCAAGATTTACCATTTGTTGTCATTCGTTTAATTGCTGTTATTCATTTTAAAGTAAATTCGTATACGACAATATTTTTCACTTGCAAAAATCTTATTATTTTATTTTTACAATTCTATCGTCTATGGTCAATTTGTATTGAACATATTGATCAAGATGAACAAATTGATTTCGATAAACGTTCAGCAAAACATCGATTACCATCTGTGAAAAAAATGACGACTACTACTACTATTCCATTGATGGCAGCATGATATATCGCATGAATAAGACAGCATGAAACTATCTAATCGCATATATATCCATGCAAATTTCTTATTTTTGTAAATATGCATTTCCTATTGTATTTAGATAAAAGAATGGGGCCTTGAAGATGCGATGCTTGTTGAAATTTCTTTTATGTTCGTTATTATTCTTGGCCGATGGTTATTGCCAAAAGGAAATATTTCTCATAGTGCGTTATCTCAGTTATTACTTGTGTATTTGTCACTCGCTTCGGATATACTCGATTTATTAACATTATTCAGTGAACAAGAAATTTATCTAAGTTCATCAATGGTTCATATTATTCTTATTGTTTTCTCTTTATGTATGTTTCAATTTACACTTAATCTGACAGCAACTCGTGGCCGTTCGTTTTACGCAGAATTCGATAATACAGGCATAGAAATACATCAATCGGCACCCCACTCAAAACCGATACCAAAATCGACACTAAAAAAACATAAACTTTTAGATAAATCCATACTACCAATAATATCTTCATCAACCGTTCGACCACTGGCAGCAACCACCATGAATTTAGCTCCACATATGAAATCACGTGCATCATCCGTGTGCATTATTACTCCACCTGATACAATCTTCGACAATGCTGATATAACTAGCGATCATGAAATGAAAGTTAATCAAAGTGCCACCACCAGTACGTATATTTAAACTTTTCGAACGATAGATCGATATAAAACAGGCTGACATGTCTGTTTGTTCGAAGTAACAATTTCAAATGTTGAGTGTCTATTAGCAGCTTAGATTTCTTTTCGATGAGAAAAGTCATAAATCCAAATCTTGAGTATAAGATATTGTAAATTTAATATTTTTTATTATATTTAACCTATTCTCTAAGTAAACAAAATAATATTATTGAAGATCTCTTTATTTTTGTTAAGTTCAAGTTCCGGAAGCTACAATTCATGAAGTTGATCTACTAAAAAATGTTTCCTATCCATCTATGATTCATCGTCAATCAGTAAGTTCTCTTAATTCATTACATTTATCATTATGGAATACATCACGTTCTAAATACGAATCACGTAAATCACTGGCAGACAGTATGCGAACCTTCGTTCGTAAACGATCATCGAAATTTCTTCGTTCCGAAATATGGTCAATACTTGTTACATTATCATTACAAGATGGTCCGTTTTTTGCTGTTCGTCTTGTTGCTATTATTGTCTATCGTGTACGTTCGTTTTTAACCTATTTCTTCACGTTTAAAAACCTTCTGATTCTTGTCTTTCAATTATACCGTATTGTTTCAATATGCTTAGAGAAAGATGAACACGAAAAAGAATTCGAAGAAAAAGTCAACACAATCACACGCATGAGTATGACCGCAACACAACTCGGAATACCACTTTTCAAAAAAATTTAGTTCAATTTTGTGTGCCTTGTAATCATATTCGAGAAAATTTTTAATAAATAAACATCTTGATTGCATTTTCTAATTTCTATTGATATCATAATTGATGTTGAATAACTTCAAATAAAAAAACAATTAAAACAATTACACAGCTGTTTTTACACGCATTTTACCGCAGCAAAATAACAGAGTTCTACGTTTTGGCAGAATTTGACTCGTTAGATATTTTAAAAGCTCTCATCTGGTTGAGCAAAAATTTTGTCTTCTGAGTACGGATTCATGTTTCATTCTCTGCTATTTAACGCTAACATGAATGTACATTTTCATGGCAAACAAAACAATGTACCTGGCCTTTGCATGCGACATACTCTGAGAGTGCATTCTGAGTGAGCAATGGGATACTCTAATTGAAATAGATGGTATATTTTCGCACCACCCAGGTCGACTAATTCGACGATGAATTCTATCGGATCCTATAACATCCTACTAACCGAGAAAATTCAATTGGATTCTGGGCTTCGGAACTATTGATGAATCCGACGGGAGAATTTAAAAAAATTATCAAAATTCTATTTAGTGCGAAAAAAGCTTTTTAGAGGTTGACCATAGCAGACTTTTTTGGCGTATCGGATATGTAGCGAATTTCGATCCTATGGATCGGAATTTCGGTTCGAAACCCAGAATCCGTCGATTCTCGTGAGTTTTCATACAAGATCCGACGTAACCCATTATCAGATCCGATTAGATTCAGCTGTAGGAATGAACGACCTGGACTGTCAAAATAGGTAAGAGATAAAAATCTGAAATGACGTTAATGATAGAAAAAGAATTGAAATTCGGAAATTGATGGCTAATCGGAACAGAAAGTCTTAAAAAATCTGCCATTTAAACAGATCTTTTTTTTCACGAAAACTAGATAGTTTCGTTCAGTTTTTCAGGCTCTCTGTTATCCAATAGTTTGCTTATAGACTTCTTATCTCACTCGTTGTGAAATAGCACAATTAACTGTGACCAATAGAAATTGAGTTTCGGTACTCTGTTTTATTGATGAATGATTTATATTTTGTCCAAAATGTGGAGTGAAAAATGCTACATCGATTGATGTATGATTCGCATTCTTTAAAGAAAATCGCTGGATCAAAAAATGCAAATTATTGAAAATGTCTTAAAATTATGTACACCACTTTATATTTATAGTGATTTGTTTTTTTTCGGAATGAAAAGTTTACTCGTTAAAATTTGAAAAGTTAATAATTTTCTTCAAGCTATAGAAACAATCGATATTTGATCCTTTTCAGCACTTTGTTTTTTTCAAAAATTCAAACAAATTATAGGAGAACAGTTATCATTCAAAAGACCAATATGCTCAACGTTTAAAAATTTTGATTAATAGGATAAATAATAGATGAAGTTATAAAAAATCTTCTCGACGTTTTCGGTGTATAGGTCACGGTATACATGTTTATCAAAGGAAGGTCGAGAAAATTACACATTGACACCCGCCAAGTTCGTCGCTTCATTTAGCTAATGCTTTACTCGACTTTGAAAATGAGATATTCATGAGTGGTTTTTAAAAAGTAGCAACATTTTAGGTAGAATTTAGTTTCAATGCAAAATTTGATGAAAGCTTGTTTGCCATGATGAATATTCTCATTATATGTGCATTGTGCGTAGAACAATATTGTTTTATTTTTCTTATCTGCAAGTTAAAAGAGTACTAAAAGGGTGATGCACTGTTTTATCATGGAAATGTTTTTAATATAGAAGATTAAGAATATTTCCATGATTTATGCTAACTAAACTCAGAGGATGTATCATGTCCTTGATATTTGAAAATTTACTTATATTAAAATAAATATGAACTCAATTCACCGAAAATGAT